GTATGTATTTTTAAATAAAAATTTTTGTAATTTAAAAAAAACTTTCAATTACACGTAAATTTGGTCAGGGAAATTATAAAGCAACCTTTATACTCGGAAATGGTGCAGAGTTATTTATTCAAATTATTTCCCCCGCGAGAATTTTGTTTTATTTGCCTATTCATGTGTACGGCAAGCTTTAATTTCACAGCCAGGAAAGCCGGTTGGAGTATCTGAATCACCCCTAGACATTAGAAAATCGAGGTCAGCCAAAGAGTGAACGGATTCCTCCCAAGCCGCAGGTGCCGAACAAGATCTCGTCTAATCTTGACACGCAGCAATTTCCTTTTCTAATTCACGTGAGAATCCGCTGTAGAAACGTGGGTGGCGCTCTTTTTCTTCAATCAATTTGCACTGAAATTGAAAAAAAAAATCCTATTACGCATCGCATGGGAAATTCCTTCAAAGGCGGATGCAAGGTTTGCTCATTCAAGATGCAACTTCCTAATTTGTTAACGCACTGATTTGCATATAAGAATTCTCAGACGCCTGTGTATGTTTTACATGCTGCACAATGGAGAGCGAAATTTTATTAATCCTTCGTCCTCGCGTTTCTATTTTATGGCCGAGATAGTTTTTTTAAGCCAGGCCCTCTGGTGTCGAGAGAAATACATTGAAAATTTATCTCGGGAGATGATCAGATGAAAGAGAAATTGAACAATGATTATAATTAAACTGTCTTGATTGTGAGACGTGCAGGTCGATCCTTTGAAGTGTGAGGAAGTTAATAAAGCTTCAAAAGATTGGATGATTTCTTTGATTGGACCAACAACTGATGTTTTTACCGACATATAGGCATGGAGTAATTCTATTTTCCAATAATTAAATTACACTTAAGATTGAAATATCTTAATTTATTTTTAATTAACGATTCTTACAAAAGTTAATATAATATAAGAATTCTAAAATTTTCATTGTAACTTAATTATGTTTTAATTAAATTATATTAAATTAATAACTTAATTTGCCTTAATAAGGAATATGAGCATAATTAAATAATATAATATTTAAAAAAAATTGAATTAAAATATTCCTAAATAAATGGAATTTAAAAATCTCATTAGCATTAAACACTTTTGATGAGTCTTTATTTTATTAAATACCTCATCACCTACATTTTCCACCAGCCTAATAAATTATAACGAATCACTAAAAATTTCACTTTGTTTGTTGCTTCAAATTTTCCGTTACTTTAAAATAGATGCAAAACCCTCACTAGACTAGCGTTGGCATAATAAGTTGTTAATCTTACGAAATAAAGACTAGCTTGTGGAGAAATTATATTGCTTGATAATTTCGGCAACTAGTTTTGCCAAATGCTAATTCCCATTTAACTACGTCAACTTGCGTGCTCTCATTTCAAATTCCTGCTAATTTTAGGTCACCATTTCAATATCCATGTTTCAATTACCTAAAATTTAAAAATTCGACTTTTTCCAATTGGCTCGTCATTTTAATCAAACGCGGCTGGGAGCAACTTTTGCTTTTACCTTCTTGCTCGGTGGGTATATATCTGGACATTGTATCTCGCCCATTAGAAAGCTGCGAAATGGCTTGTTGGTTTTTGGCCGGATCCGGCTGAATTTCGGCGAGAATGTAACGGACGAGTAGTTTTAATTGTTCGCGTCTCAAGAGGAATCTAGCTGCCCTGTCAGCCAATCTAAGCGATTAATTTATGGCAAAAAAGGCATCGACGGTGAGAGGAAATTTCACCTGTCGCTTGATTCATCGATAAATCAGCTCCGCCTTTTTATTTCCTCACATTCTATCATTGGAGTGACAAGTGCGAAATTTTTATTAGATAAAATCTCCAAAATTGAGATGAAAATCTGCTTCTGTATCAAACGGTTGAAGAAAGAAGGAAAAAATCTAATTGGCTTCACTTGTGCGAGTAAAAGGAAGAAAGTTTGTCTTGAAAATCGACACAAATAATTGAAGGAATTATAATAGACTGCAGGCGTCGCCTCTATTTTAGGTTCAACGCACTATTCCATCCTTAAAATAAAAATGCACTTTTTAATCTCCGCTAACAGCGAAATTGCGTGTCTACGAATCTTTTAAACTTGAGCATTGTGTTCTTCCATTGCCAAAAGTTGCATTGTGTTCCGCTGATATAATTATGCGCTCGAATGTCAAGACCTTTGTCTCCTGAGGTCTTTTGAAACCACAATAAGGAGCGCCGATGGCTGAGAATCAAAAGCTGATTTGATTAATAGTCAACATCTGTGCAGAATGTCAAGACAAATAATGGAACAAATTCATTGTTTTAATAGTTTAACTTTAATTGGGAATGTACTTTGCTTGCAATGTGACCTCTGACTTGATTCATAAGTAAAAAGCGACCTTAGAGTTGCAAATATTAATTTTAGGATCAAAATGAAAATTTTGAGGTGAAGTGATTGCGGCGATTTGGTTTGCAAAAATATTAATGAATAATAATCAAACAAATCCTACCAATTTTCAAAATACATATGGAAATGAAAAAATTTAATTACATATCCCAATTTATATTATCATGTTAAAAATTGTTAATATAAATTTTTTTTTATTATATCATAGTAATTTCATTTTTTTTTAGCTTCTACTAAAAGATCTTTCACGCATAATTCTAAATTTTAATTTCAAAATAATATTGTAAATCATTTATAACTATGAATATTTTATAAGATAATTGAGCAGATTGATTTAAACCGAGACCTTTTAAATTAATATTAAGGAAATGAGGTTAAAAGTAATTTTTTCCCATAAAGTGTGCAATTTAATGTTCAATGCTTGTGCACGCAAAAAATGCATCTTTGGATTGTGCAAGAAGTGCATTACTTGTACTTTCTAACGCGCGTGTATAATTACATAACAAAAGTAAGTAGCGCGGCATTTGAGCCGCAAGTGGGAATTAATCAAAATGCACTCTCACTTGGCTCGCTGCAGCTGCCGCGTTTCTTGGATTACCTGCTCGGAATTTTTCCAATGACTCTTGTTAGGTAACGTGCATTTTATGCAGAGATGAAAACCGGTATTTGCGCCGGTGCATGATTATTAGTGGAGAAACGCGTTCATTCATTTCCTAGATGAAGCCATCATGCAGAACGAAAAATTGTATAATCGTTGTGTCATTAATTCTTTCTAATTATGAAGTTTGAAAAATACCTTATATAAAATTTATTTTATTGGACGAAAGAAAAAAGAGTTTTAATTTCCTATTTTCTGTGTCATTGTTTTTTTACAACACCAACATTGATATAATTATATTTCGCCGCAGGAATTCAATGTGTGTAAAAAAAAATTGACTTTGTCTGGATTATTGTTTGGCCACAAAAGTTGAAAATCTGTGGCAATGAAATGCGGTTTGTAGTGCAATAATTTCGATTTGAGCCGAAGATTTCGTTAAGTCTCATCTCTCCTAGTTCTGCTATTTGATTCAAAGTATAAGTCAAAGTCAGGGTAGGCGAGCATCAAGGCTAATTTTGCGTGTTTCACTCGAATTTATCTCAGTTGGTATCATTTTTTCGACCACTGGCTTCAAATAACCCAGATTTTGATGGTAAACGAAATCGTTTAATGTAATACACACAAGATTTCACTCCATTTTCATAAACATCAGATCTCGATTTGCACCATTTGGATTTTATCTCTTTCAAAACGTTTTATCTTTCATAGAAAGAAATATTGTAATTGTAATAAAGAATCTGTAAAAATATTAAGAAATAACAAAATAATCTTAATTATTTTTATCCTGGATAATTTTTTTATCCAATTGTTAGATCTAAAATAACAACAATAAGTCATAATAAAAAATAATTATTATAATTTTGTCATTGTTTAATTATTTATTAATTTTAATTTTCCAAAAGATTACTTATTACAATTATTTCTTTCTCTCTGTGTATTATTAAAAACACAATCATCTACAAAAATTGAATTGAATTTTTTTCTATTTGTTTTGAATAAAGTAATTAAATAATTTTAACTGGTTCGTTTCCATCTTAATTTCCACTTCTTACTTAAAAAATTCAATAAAAACCGTTTTTATTGTAATTGAAATTAATCTTGAAATCTAACAGGAAACAGTAGTTTTTTCGCTTTAATGATAAACCGCGAACCAACTACTTATTTTCGACATTCCTCCATTGGAGAGTAAAAAGCGTCCCAGTAAAGAAAGACTTGAAGATCCAGTCTGACCGGAAAACTGGGCGACTGGGTCAGAATAAGCGAAACCAAGGTTATTGACGCGTGCAAAAAGGATACGTGACTGCTCCCGTTTGTTTGTTTCTCTCTTTTTCGAGCTCGATTCTTACAAGAGAGAAATTCATTCATTCTTGTCTAGAAAAGTTCCCATAGTTGGTGACATAAAATTTGATAAGTTTTCTCACGTAACGCTCGTTTGCATTTCTCCCTGTCAAGGTTATTCCTAATGACGTTTTATGAAACAATTCCAATCCTGTAATTTGCATTTCAAAATTTTTCGATGAAAATGCTTGTTTTTGCTATTATTTTTTATATTCATTCATTTTTTCTTCACCATCTTTCAATTCATATATGTATTTACCACAGATAAAAATATACTTTATCGCGTTAGAGAAGATCATGACAATTTAAACGTGTTAGCGAAGAAAGCTTTCGAATGTTTGTTGGACCAGATGATTTCGCGCTTGAGACGTGGTTCACATTTCAATCCGCTTTTATATCAATTAATCACTTTCATTAATTTTCCAAACTTTATAATACTCTCTGTGAAGAATGTTTAAACAGTTAAATCACAATAATTCATAATTTTAAATTATAAAAAATTTTAGATTTAAAAATTCATAGAAAAATTATTTATCAAAAACTAATAAATTTGGGGATTTATAGTAAAAAAAATTAGTTTAAATTAAAAATTTTTATAATTATTTGCAACAATTTACAATTAATAAATAATATTGAGCCTAATCAACTAATGGAATTAAAAATTAGCAACTTACCTAATGAACTGTTTTCAGCTCCTTGGAAACTAGATATGAATTTGAAGAATAAACTGCACTTTGAAAGTTGAAACAAAATATATATCTCGTGGCACGTGAGGTTCGTGTTTAGGTTCAGGTGTGTGCGGCCGGCGAGACGCTTCGCACATTCAGCCTCACCATCGTGATCACCGAGTGCAAACTGACTACGGTGGTTACTTAACTGCCTCCACGCACCGGCCAGAGAGAAAGTTCGCCTTCGAGTAGGAGCGATCTTTGCAGGCCTTTCTCTGCCTCTGATGCACCAGTCAGGGGTTGTTGCTTGGCTTTTCCACTTGCACTGTCATCGCCAGCAGTTGCCTCACGAAATAATATAACAAATTTTTTGCAAGAAATTTTGTAATTGGAATTAAAATGGTCCTTCTGCAAGTCAGCCGAAATCATTGGAGAAAAACATTCTCACGCTCTTTACTTGATTTGATTTATTGTCAACTCGGGTCAGCAGAAAACTGCTTCATAATTGCGAGTTTCCAAAATATTTATTTACTTTTTATGGTAAAAAGAAAAAGTTTCAGTCAAAATTCATTCATTCATTAAAAATTAGCACGAATTTTTGTTGAAACGGAATAAAATTAATCAATCAATAATTTAAAAATATTAATTATGCTAAAGTTTGCTTTCCTTTGGCGCAAAAATTGCATTTTCTTGTTGAAAGTTCCAAAATGAGAATTTAAAAAAAAAACAATAAATATTCATATTTTAGGTCCTCTCATTTTATTTAAAAAAAAATAAAATAAAAACAATTATTTTAGTATAAAACAACTTTATTTTTATCAACTGTTTCAATTTCAATTAAAAATGTTTTATGAAAAAAAAATATCATTGCTAATAAGTTTTACGTCTCACATTTATAAATAACTTCCTAATTTAAAGGCAGACAAAAAAAACCGCTTGATTGTGCTGTACATTTAAGCGTTTTACCGATTTTACGACCTTTTGCTTTTTTATTGCTTAAGTTCATCATGCTCTCCAAATAATTAACCCTTTTTCTTGTTTGATTTCAGGTACGAAGCCTTTTGTGCAAAAATCTCCTTTGAAACGTGGAAAAAGGTCAGTTTTCTTTCTTCGATTAGGGAATTTCCGCTCGACCTAATTTTGAAGAAGAAATTTCATATAGTTTAAATTTCTCGACCTACCAGCCGCAGAAACGTGTATGCAAATCAGCTGGAATGAAATTATTTATGCTTCTTCCGAACACGCTGCCTGTGCTATTAATTTCGAGTAACTTTTGCGCTTGAATAAATTGCTGGCTCAAGCAAATAAATGTGAGTGAAATTTTCAACTTTCGTGCAAAGTCACAAAACAATATTTCAATGAATAAGTAAGAAATGGCATTTCTTGAATAAGCTAATTCATATTTAAAAAAATTAATATCTGTTAAAAAAAACAGTAAAAATCAATTTGGTGAAGGTTAAAATTTAAAAATTTCTCATTGAAGAAAAAATAAACTTTTTGCGAACTCATCAAGGCAAAACTTGTTCATTATTTTCTAATTAGGTCTTGGAAAAAATTCCTCCAGACGTGGCGTAAAGTGATATGCATCTTTTGGCTGATCCGTGGTTCCAATTTGAGAACACAATGGAGTGTGAAAAAGCTTTGGCGCATCTTTCGAGTATTAGGACGGCCATGTTTGGTAATTGCCCTTTTGTCTGCGCGCTTTGTTCCTGGCCGGAGACGACAATTCCGGAGAAAGTCAATTTGATCGTCGGATTTTTTTCCGTTGTTGATTCGCGACGACAAAAGTGGTGTTAATTACTCGCATGCGTGTGTGGCCCGTCGTGACTTTGATGCCAAAATATTTTGACGACAGCCCTTTTGTCTCTCTTTGCAACCGCGGGCGCTCGCGAATAAAAAAAAGTATGATTCGGAACGGAGCTGGAAAGTGAAATTGGACAATGAAGACCGTTTCTCATTTCGCCATCGGGAAATTTTCAGCCTTTTGTTCGGCGCAAATGGAAACTTTTGATTGTTCTGATGTTTAATCAAAGTGGATGAAATTTTCATCCAGGGCAAAAGTAAAGTACCAGAATTCCAAATGAAAAAAAAATGTAATCTTTTTATTTAAATTTCTTTAGATTAAAAAAAGGAAAGTTTTTCATACTCTTGCAAAGTATTTTGATTAATTTTAATAAATTATGAACACAACAAATTGAAATAAATTAAATGCTTTTGGAATTTCCCCAGGCACTTTTTTTTTTAATCGGTCACACTTTTGGCAAGGGTCAACCGATTTGAATGAAATTTGGCAGGTCGATTGCTCTTAGGGTGTAAACAAATAGTTTAGAAGGATTTTTGAAAATTCTCAAAATTGCCTATTTTACAGGGGCTCAAAGTTTCTGATTTTGAAAAATGGCGTTTTCAAAAATCGAAAATATCTCAGCTCCTGTTGCAGATAGCGCATAAGTTTATATAAGCAAAATTGTAGGGAATTAGACGCCCTACAACTTTGCTATAGTGACCAAGGTCGTAGGTCAAACCTGAAGGTCATTTATTTTTTGCTCATTTTTTTCGGGCTCTACCAAAGTACCAAGTTAGTAAATTTTTTTGATTCCAAAATAGCCAAAAGTTGCTCCAGTTAGTAATAAACAACATATCAAAATTTGGTGAGACTTATTTTTTTCGTTTTTGAGATATTCCGGATCAAAGGGCAAAAAACGTGGTTTTCCGAGCGTTTTTTGTGCAAAATTTATTTTAAACCTCCATAACTTTTTTCCTGTTAGAATTAGGATTAAATGTATTATGACAAAAAATAATTGCCTTTAATTTTTCTTGCAGGTCATGTATCACACATGGTGATCAGGTCACAAAAAGGCATTGACCCCATGGTGACCTGTGACTTTTTTGAATTTTTTTACGTGTGTGACACATTGATGGAAAGAGGATGTCAGCAGGAGCATTTTGGTACCCGGATTTTTGTTCTAGTATCAATAGATGTGAAGTTACATCTATTTTTAAATAATTTATTCGTCGGATTCCCACTTTTGCAGCACAAAATCTATGATAACTTCACTTTTAATGATGCTAGAACAAAAATCCGGGTACCAAAATGCTCCTGCTGACATCCTCTTTCCATCAATGTGTCACACACGTAAAAAAATTCAAAAAGGTCACAGGTCACCATGGGGTCAATGCCTTTTTGTGACCTGATCACCATGTGTGATACATGACCTGCAAGAAAAATTAAAGGCAATTATTTTTTGTCATAATACATTTAATCCTAATTCTAACAGGAAAAAAGTTATGGAGGTTTAAAATAAATTTTGCACAAAAAACGCTCGGAAAACCACGTTTTTTGCCCTTTGATCCGGAATATCTCAAAAACGAAAAAAATAAGTCTCACCAAATTTTGATATGTTGTTTATTACTAACTGGAGCAACTTTTGGCTATTTTGGAATCAAAAAAATTTACTAACTTGGTACTTTGGTAGAGCCTGAAAAAAATGAGCAAAAAATAAATGACCTTCAGGTTTGACCTACGACCTTGGTCACTATAGCAAAGTTGTAGGGCGTCTAATTCCCTACAATTTTGCTTATATAAACTTATGCGCTATCTGCAACAGGAGCTGAGATATTTTCGATTTTTGAAAACGCCATTTTTCAAAATCAGAAACTTTGAGCCCCTGTAAAATAGGCAATTTTGAGAATTTTCAAAAATCCTTCTAAACTATTTGTTTACACCCTAAGAGCAATCGACCTGCCAAATTTCATTCAAATCGGTTGACCCTTGCCAAAAGTGTGACCGATTAAAAAAAAAAGTGCCCCCAATTTTTTTTAGAAACACAAGAAAAATTATGTTTTGCTAAAATAGAAACGAAATAAGTTGATTTGTGAAAAAAATTTAAAATACCTGCAATATTTTACGATTTATTTATTTTTCAAATTTATATTTCAAATTAAATAAGTCAACTTTTGGATTCTGGATCATGAAAAAACATAAATTATTGAAATAAATGAGGAAGTGTATCAATTGCATCACTTTTTTCTCTCCTGACATAACATTGACGATAATCGACTCGTTCACGCTCCTGAATGGAAAATCCTTGGAGCAAGAAATTGACAAAAACGCCGCTCATGCTTTTAAACACGCGTTAAATAACAAGAGTGGCGGTCTACGTGCCGCCGTTGATGATGTCCAGCTGGAAAGACTCGGTGTCGTAACATCCAGAGCAAACAAATACTTTTACAATTCGACGTCAAAGGACGCGAATTTCTGGCAGCTGCAAAAACCGCCGCTCGCGTACGCAACAGTAATTTCACTTTCCGATTACGCTGCATGAGATGCGCTTTTGAGCTTTGGATTAACCGCGCTTTCCAAGCTCTTGGTAATCCGACACCCACCTGTGACAAAGTTTGCCTTCCCAAATTATACGACTCTCTTAATTTCCAGAAAACAGAGAATCGCCTTGTTTGGAACGCGCTTTCGATTTTAGTTTGTTTTTTTCCTTTGTTGTCGGCTCTTTTATTATTGTTTGAAAGAAAAGAGGAGCTAGAAGAAGAGTGGTCGGTCCTTCATGCATGGATCCTACCATGATCTTCAATCTCAAAATCTTCATTTTTCTTTATATTTTGATTTTTTCCGTAATCTATTCAACCAAGTTCATGCAATAATAAAAAATTGGTTTATTGAATGTTTATTGTAGTTTGAAGATTAATAAAATATCATATATTTTATAGAAAGATCAAATCAAAATTAAGAATGACTAAAAAATGTATGTATTATAATTATTTTTTTACTAAAATTTGTAAAAAAATTATGAGAATAAATTTATTTGTCTTAAGTTTTGCATCATATTTTGCTGAAGTGCTTTTAATTTGAAATAAACATAAAATTTTCCAAGATTTTATGTAATTTAATTAATTTCTGAAAAGCATTTCAATTTAATTCATTGAAAAAAACTGAATCAAATCTGTTCATTAGATAAAAAAAGCTGCGCACCCAATTAGACCTCGCGGCTTCAAAGCTGCACCTGCCATTTCTCTCCATTTTTCATGTGTCCGAATCAACACAATGCGGCCGCAGCTTTGATCGCATCGCGAATGAAGAATTGAGAATGCGAACGCCCGGCGAAACCAACTTTCGCATCGGAAAAAAAAAGAATTTCTCCGCGCCCAAAACGCAAGGAGTGTCTTCACATATTTTTATCGGCTATGGAATGAAATTATCTCGCAGCGCAATTTATTCACGCGCCGACGTGATTATCAATGACAATAATTGTGTTATTTTCACCCGCTGGGTCGTTTGAATCGCACTTGAGTGTCATTTTTATGGCCCTAAATTGGCACGGGGTGCAACAAATCAGCCATTTATTGAACGATTGATCAAAAGGAGTGTCCCTAAGCGATTGCAACACCGACGAATTCAATTGTGGGAACCTCTTGCTGTTTTATTGTTTGAAAGAAAAAAATAAGACTGAATGCTCAAAGTAGAAAGTTTGTGCAAAAAAATTGCGAATTTTCGTCTCTCACTTTATTTGGAGACAGTTTTTGTTTTTTCTGTAATTAATCTACTAGAAAGTTATTGTTATTTGTAACAAAATTCCAGCCGGTGATCCGCTGGAAATTCTTAAACGGCGTTTTTATTTTTTATTTGATGATGAAATCTGTGAGGAGCTTTACATAAAGAGGAGGTCTTACTCACGCATCCACGCCCGGAATTATTTAACTTTTCCAATAGATAACGAATGCGTGTCGCAACCCAAACTTCACTTTCTTCTTAGAATTATTATTTATCCTTTGGTTTCTCTGTTTGCATAAATTATCCTAAAATGCATCCGATTAGGAAAGGAATAATTTGAAAATAGAAGGTTAGATTTGGAGAAAAACTTGCAATTATTCTTATATTTAATCAAAGTGGATGAAATTTTCATCCAGAGCAAAAGTGAAGCACCAGAATTCTAAATGAAAAAAAAGCAATTGTAATCTTTTTATTTAAAATTTCTTTAGATTAAAAAATTGAAAAGTTTTTCATGCTCATGCAAATTATTTTGATTAATTTTAATTAAGTTAAAAGCAATTTTACCAGCTCTCATCTGAAATTACTGCGACGCGTACGTGCACAATTCACGTCGACACCAAATTATACAAGAGTTGATTTTTTGTTGTCGTAACATTTCTCTCTGATGCAGGGAGAAATGCATTTCACTCACGGTGCAATTGCACGAGTCTTGCGAGAGTGCAAGTGAAAAGATGTTGCGGCGCGCGTGCATAAACATGGATGCAATACTTTCAATTGTTTCTTCTTTACGGTTGCAGCTCGTGCGGAATTCAAATGCCACGCTCTTTTTCTAAGACACACTTATTAGTTTCTAAATTGACTCACAATGCAAGTCTATGAATTGCTCAAAATGAATTAAATTATAAAGTAAAATTATATTAAACAACTAAAATAAAATTTTGAAGGCATTGAATGAAAAGTTTTTTAATCTGAATCTTGCTCCTAAAAGTTATGCTTGCCGCCTTTCTTTAGAGCTGAGCGTTTTGCCTAAGTTTAAAGAAATCTTGCTGACTTATTGGAGACGTCAGTATGGAGAAAGCTTGAATAATAAATCAGTCTTTAACTACTTAATTGAATTGAAATATTTATTATTTTACTTATTTATTTTAATTAATATTTACTTATTAACAATTCAAAGCCATTTATTTTTAATAAAATCTGAAACCCGTTCGCCGATCATTATCGAAGGCGCATTTGTATTTCCCGACACAATTTTCGGCATAATCGAAGCGTCCGCAACCCGCAGCCCTTTGATTCCGTGAACCCTGAGTTCAGGGTCGACGACCGAGGTTGCAGGGTCGGGTCCCATCTTGCAAGTGCCCACAGGGTGGTAAATCGTGGATCCGATGTGTCGCAGGGCGCACTCGTGGTATTCGTCCGAGTCCTTGCCAAACTTGGAGCTGCAACTTTCCAAATCGTCAATTCGCTCAGCGCCTAATTTTTTCATCGCCTCCGTCTCGCCGAAGCGCTTGCAGAACTTGACCGCCTCCACGATTCTCCTCACGTCGAGTTGGTTAGAAAAGTAATTTGCGTAAATCACAGGTTTCTCCAGCGGATTCGAAGAGTTGAGTTTAATTTCGCCGGCGCTGTCAGGTCTCAAAAGGGTGATGATTGGGCTGAAGATGGTGAAGTTTTCGTTTAGTTTTTTCATGTAGTCTGTCGTTTGCTCGTCGTAGCCTTGCACGTTGAGGAAAAGTGGCCACACCAGTGGGTCTTGGGCGCCGATTATCAAGTGGTGGATTTGAATGTCCGGATGCAGTTTGTTTTCGTTCAGGGGCGTGTTGATGAAGGCCATGAAGTCATAAGTTCCAACGGTGGAATAATATCCCGTTTTGTACACCAAATACTTGTACATTTGGTCCAGCTCAAATTTTTCTTTATCTCCAATTTCTAAATCAACCTTTTTCATAGCGAAAATATTGCCTAGGAACAAAATATGGTCCTGCAAATTTTTGCCTACCATCTTTGAATTTTTTACAACTTGGATGCCCATTTCATTCAAATGTTCCTCGGGGCCGATTCCGGAGAGCAACAGGATGTGCGGCGATCCGATGGCCCCGGCTGACAAGACAACCTCTTTGCCGACGCTCACAACGCGCGACTCGCCGCCTTTGACGAACTCGACTCCAGTCACTCTGTTGTCGCTTTTGTCAATCAGAAGCTTTGTCACTTGAGAATGTTTTGACACATGCAAATTTTTCCTCGCTTTGGCCGGCGCCAGGAAAGCCTTGGCCGTGCTGAAGCGGACGCTGTCCTTTTGAGTGGAGGGCGCCGTGCCGTAGCCCACCGGTGTGGCCGAGTTGATGTCAATTTTGTCGTAGCCCATTTCTTTGGCAGCCTCGTAGAAAAAGTCGGAAATCAAATTAGGCTCGCCGGATTTGTACATTTTGGCCTCGAGCGGGCCGCCCTGGGCGTGAAATTCGTCCGACCTGTCCGAGTTTTCCGACTTTTTGAAGTAGCCGAGAACGTCTTCGTAGCCCCAGCCTGGGTTGCCCATTTCCTGCCAGCCGTCGTAGTCGAGTTTGTTGCCGCGGACGTAGAGCATGGCGTTGAGCACCGAAGTGCCGCCGAGGGCCTTGCCCCGCGGCCAGTAGCAGCGGCCGCCGCTCATGCCCAGACAGCTCGTGCCGTCCGCCTCGGGCCAGAATTCCCAGTCGTCCTGCGTGTGCTGCGAGGCGAAGAACAAAACCGGCACCTCGGAGGTCATGCCAGGGTCGCCGCCGGCCTCCACAACCAGGACGTTCCATTCCGCCACCTCGCTCAGGCGGTTGGCCACGGCGGCGCCAGCACTTCCGGCGCCGATCACGATGAAGTCGTACTCGGGCAGTAAATTTTCTGCGGCGACGTCCTTTGGGTACTGCTCAGGGTTGAAAAGTTTGCACTGTTCGCCGATCAAAGAGTTGAGCAGGACGGCAAACAAAACGGCAGCGCTGCCGTTATTAAAACACGTTTGTTGCAGAACAGGAACTCCGAGAGCTTCCATTATTCTGGAAAATACAGAAATAATCATGAGATTAAAAGATTTTATGTGGAATTTTATTTATTATAGACATGCTTATTTTGTGAAATTAAAATGGCCAAATTTTAAGGATAGTGGATTATCAAGCATTTATTTTCAATATGAGTTGAAGAGACTATAATCAAATAAAAATATCATCTCAAAATAATTTTCATAACATATTTTAAATTGAAATTTAAATGCACATATTAAAGAATGAAAATATTTAATAAAATACCATAAGTATATAATTATAATTAATAAATATTATTAGAAAAAAATTATTTTTCTCAATTATATTTAAAATTCGCTATATGTTTAATCTCAGCTTTTTTTAGTTTATCGAGGCGGCTAAATAATTATTTTATGTCAGGTGTTTCAACAGACACACAATTTCTTCCCACTTTCATATCTAAAAAAGTTTTTTTTTTTGCCTGCAAAGATAAAAGAATTTTACAATTTTGAATTGAATTTTCAATACAAAAAGAACACTCCCCTGACATTCTAATTCAACAAGAATTACTGCACACTTTAAGAAATTTAAATATTAAATTTGGCTGATTATCCACAGATTTGGGATTGAAAGTGGAAACAGTTAATTATTTATCGGGAAAAAATCAAAGTTAAATTTGTTATTATTCTTAAAATTGCAATTTAGTCTCCAGAGACCTTGTCAATTGACTTCTTTCTTGCTCTCTAATAAAAATTCCTTTGAGGGACTGGCTAATTCAAAATTCAAAAAATGGTAATATAATACATACACGTACAGCTCTAGAGAGAGACCAGTGAAGAGCTCCGTTCTCGTCGAGATCAAACGCTATTTTGGTCAGTCTGCTATGTTATCAAGCGGGCGCAAACAAACTGTTGCCCCTGACCCTTGACAAATTTAATCTCCACAACTCAAACTCACGTTTATTTCTTTAGAATAAAACTCTAGAAGAGCAAAGTTTGTGGGTAAATATAATATTATTTTGATCATAATTATAGTTATTTTATTGCTTATAGTAAATAAATACTTTATTGTGATTAATAGAAATCAATGGCTGTTGCCATTGATGCCATTTTCAAGAGGGAAAAAATATTTAAAATAAAATTGAAATAAGTTATAAATTAAAAGTAATTTTTTAATTCATTACATTTACCAATTTTTTAGTTATTACATAAAGTTATTTTTGTATTACTGTTCAAGCCAATCCTCCTTAATAAAATCAGAAACCCTTTCGCCTATCATGATTGAAGCGGCGTTCGTGTTTGCCGAAACTATTTTAGGCATAATTGAGGCGTCGGCCACGCGCAGCCCTTTGACGCCGTGCACCTTCAGCCTGGGGTCAACGACCGAGTCGGCAGGGTCAGGCCCCATCTTGCAAGTGCCCACAGGGTGGTACATAGTGGCGCCGGTGTGACGCATGCAGCACTCGTAGTACTCGTCACTGTCGTTTGCGTGTTTTCCGCTGCAGGGCTCGTAATCGTCGACGAATTCCGTTCCCAGGGCTTGCATGGTTTTCGTCTCGGCGAACCTTTTGAAGTGCTTGATGCCCTCAATCATGACCTTCACGTCCTCCTCCCGAGTCAGATAATTTGGGTGAATGACCGGTTTGTCCGAGGCGTTCGCCGACCTGAGTCTGATTTCGCCCACACTCTTGGGCCTCAGAAGGGACAACATGGGAATGAGCGAAGTGCCCTGTTTGTTGATATTTTTGAAGTGCTGGCAAGTGTCCTTTTTGAAGTCCATGGCGTAGAACCACGCATCCAAAATCTGGCTTCCCTCCGGCACTAGCATGTGGTGGATTTGAATGTCTGGCCTGGTTTTGTCTTCGTTCATAGGGGTGTTGACGAAGCCCGTGAAGTCCACGGTGCCCAGCGAGGCCAAAGCGCCCTTGCGGTGGAAAAGGTACTCATAAACGTCATCCATCAGTTTTGTCTGCTGGTCGGCGATTTTGGTGTTGACGGCGTGCAGGGTCAAGTAGGTGCCCGCGTACAAAAAGTGGTCTTGCAGATTTTCGCCCACGGGCAGATCGGCGTGCACAGGAATGCCAAATTCCTCCAGATGGTCCTTCGGGCCGATTCCGGAGAGCATCAAAATCTGCGGCGAATTTATGGTTCCGGCAGACAAAATCACTTCTTTTTTAACCGCCACAAAACGCGAACTTCCGTCTTTTTCAAATTCCACCCCCACTACTTTCCCCTCCTCCAACCGCAGTTTGGTCACGTGTGACTTTTTAGACACGTGAAGGTTGTCTCTGTCCCTGGCCGGAGACAAAAAGGCTTTGGCCGTGTTCATTCGCTCGCTGTTTTTCTGCGTCGAAGGCAACCGGCCGTATCCGACTGGAGCGGCGCTGTTCAGATCAACTTGTTCGTAGCCCAATTCCTGGGCCGCCTTGAAAAATAAAGGAACCACGTCTAACTCCTCTGCAGGGTTTTTCTTAACGCTGAGCAAACCACCTGTTGAGTGGAATTCGTCTTCGATCTCTCCGTCTTCGGACTTTTTAAAGTACCTCAAAACCTCCTCGTAGCCCCATCCGGCGTTTCCCATTTTTTCCCACTCGTCAAAGTCGCCCTTGTTGCCCCGAACGTAAAGCATGGCGTTGATGGAGGACGATCCGCCCAGGGCTTTTCCCCGCGGCCAGTTACACCGGCCGCCTTCCATTGCCAGACACGTTTTGCCGTCGGGCTCCGTCCGCAGTTGCCAATCCTCGCTGGTGCGTTGCAGGCTGACGGCCAAGGCGGGAATGTCCGAGGCCACTCCGGGGTCGTCGCCCGCCTCCAGAAGCAACACGTTCCAATTTTTCATTTCGCTCAGCCGGCTGGCGATCGCCGCACCGGCACTGCCTCCTCCGATTACGACGAAATCGTACTCCGGCAGCAGAAGAGCGTTGGCGACGTCTTTGGGGTACTGGGCCGGGTCGCCCAATTGGCATTGCGCGTTGAGAATGGCGTTGACCAAACCGGCGAAAAGAACGGTCGCGGCGCCCCCGGCATTTGGGCACGGATGTTGCAAGTTGCTCGCTGCCTTCATTCTGTCTAAATAAAAAAGCAGAAATTAATTTATTGAAATAAAAATCCAAACTGGAAATTTTATTATTAAAATATAATTGCATAAATTAATTACTTACCTGCAGCCGAGCTGTGAAAAACTAGTGCAAATCTTTGCGAGCAATTTCCTTATCACGCCGAATTTAAGTACTCTTTCTTTGTTTAGTTTGTTTGCAAGTGAGCGTCGCAACTTTTACTGGTGAGCGCGCGGTTGTATTTTTGCGTCTGCGCCTGGCCAATTGCTTGTTATGTTGTCGGTACGTCTTGCTTTTACCAAAGCTGAAAGATCTGTGAGGCTGGGCGACGGATTCTCAAGGCCAACGGTATTATTTTTCCGAGTCTAAGAAGGCCAAGCAGTTGAGAATGCCAGTCATGTTTTATTTGATCCAATTTGCCTATAAAAGCAAACAAAATGAACAATAATCATTAATAAGAAACTATTGTATTTTTCACAATTACCATCTTTTAGGGCGTCACATAATCACACAAAAAGTATGCAGCGCGAAACAACAATGCAAAGTAAAGGGGGGGGGGGGAATTGTTTGTTTTTTCAATCCTTTAAATGTTTTGGAATTCAGAGAAAACATTGAATTGTTGGCGTAGAAAAGTTTTTCAAAAACTCCCAAGATATAAAATCAAATTCGCTGCATTGAGCCGCGGTTCACTAAAAAGTTCATATTTTTCGCCACTAACCAAAATTATTATACCACAGGGCGGGGAAAGGTCATTGACTTTTGGAGTCACCTGCAAATTAATTTTTCCACTTGATATGAAATTGCTCTGAACCAAATTTACTCCCTGCAGAGGGCGGCTAGATATTTGTGTTTGCAATAATAAAATACTGAAAATTTCAAGGCTGTGAAAAAAAGCTAAACGTTTAAAACATATTCAATTTCAATAAAATATAACAAAAATTAAATAATTTTTTTAATAGTAATACTGCCTATGCTTATTATTTTTTCAATAACATAAATAATCTGCTCAAATATGAAATTTCTTGTGGGGGAAAAAATGCAAAGCATAAACGGAGGACAATTTTAAAATTATTCAATAAATTCATTTAGAGGAAAAGTGTTTTTCAAGTTAACCGTCTTGAGTCTTGACAATGTTTTTATTGTATTGTTCTAGAAAGTGTTAATATATTATGTGGTGCAAAATCATCTCTGTTAATAGTTGACAATTAGTTTCTAAAATTACAATAATTCCTTGAAAACAGACGTGAATTAATTTAAAATTTCAAAGACCATGTATCTTTATATTTTTTTATATAATACATTATTTAATTAATAAACTAACTGCGGCGGATGGAGTCTTTTTTAGCTTTGTTTTATCTTTGGTGGACGGTCAAATGTCCCACAGTACACATGTCCCATCGCAAAGCGGGCGAATGTCCCAAGCGCGCGAGCCAATCAGAGCCCAGTCACGTGATCACGCGGCGCATGCGCCTTGCTGCTATATTTTAGATGTCAAACGGACAAATGTCCCACACTGGAGCAATGACAAATGGAGCAAGTGGAATACGCATTAATTCAACTTTTTTTCTAAATTTTTATTAATAAAAATATCAACTGATGGAAAGATGACGAAAATTTAATTAAAAATTTAATACCCAATAATGTATGAACAATGCATCCTTTAAATTTTAGAAAATAATTAAATTAATATACTTTTTTAAATCATAAATAATATATTTGTGCCAAAAATTATAAAAAATATAAAATATAAACAAAATCACTGCCCCTTGTCGGACCCGAGACCAGCCGCGAACAATCGGTCTCGAGTCTCAACTGTTCTCGGGTTTGATTAAAAATAGTTTAATTATGGCCTTTATGAGTTAAAAAATATGCTACAAAGTTAACTTATATTAAAATATTAAAAATAGATACTTATAAAATTTTATATAATATCTGAACTGGGTCGTGAAATTTAGTTGCAAAGTGTGTCTCTTTAGATTTATCGCTAGGCAAAAAGATCATAAAATTTCCACAAATTATCAATTTAAATCATGCAAGAGAAGAAAATAATTTTAAGCGATCACTTTTTTTTACAAATATTAAATTTAAATTAAAAATATTTGAAATGAAAAAAATTGCCAAAATCGTCAATCTTCATTCATTTGATATTTTATAATTATTAAATTTGATTTTATTCAAAAATGAATCTTCTGCATGAATTTCATTTTTTATGGAATAAAATCTTATAAGTTATTCATAGCGCCAGTATGGGACATCTGTCCATATCCTCAAATATTGTTTAGAGCGCGCATGCGCTTAGAGCTGCAATCCCATTGGCTTGGGACATTCGCCCGCTTTTTGCTGGGACATGTGTGCTGTGGGACATTTGTCCTACAACCTTTATCTTTGTGCAGTACTGCAGTAAAAAATATATAGAAATAAAAATTCACAACAACGTAGGTAAATTTTCCTTATTTATTGTAACAAAGAAAAGTAATGCTTAAATAAAATTTAATTCTACATTCGTCATAATATATTTTCTCTCTCCATTACATCTGATTTAAGTCATCTTATTAATGATTCTGGTTCCATTGCTTTTTGATGAAATCAGCGCCTTTTTCGGCGATCATAATGGTGGGTGCGTTGGTGTTGCCCGAGACGACGTGCGGCATGATGGACGCGTCAATCACTCGCAACCCCTGCACGCCGTGCACCCTTAACTCGGCATCAACCACGGCCTCAGGGTCGTTCTCCGGCCCCATTTTACACGTTCCCGCCACGTGGTGCACCGTGACACTGTTGGCACGCATCGCGCACTCCCAGTACGGGTCCGAGTCAAAGGGGTGGTTTTCGCACCCCCGCACGTGGGTCGCGTTCAAACGAGCCTCGATCCTGCGAAACGCTTCGGTTTGAAGCAACTTCTGCACTCGCCGCACCGCGCTCACCAAAGTCCGCACATCCTCCCTTTTGGAAAAGTATCTGGGGTTGATCAGGGGTGGATTCGTGGGGTCTTTGTCCGCCAGACTCACCACCCCCCTGCTCTTTGGCCGCAGAATTGCAGGAAAAATATTGAACTCCCTTGCTAAGGGGAAGAACTGGCAATCGACTGAATTTGCACCCTTCGTCGTGGAGCACATTCGGGGCGATTGGCCAAAGTAAAGTTGAACGTCCGGCCAGGGGATGAATCTCTTCCCCTCCGAAGGTGAGCTCGAAATGAAGGCCGTGTTTTGGGAAATCCCGGTCGTCATCAAAGGCCCGGATCTTTTCAGCAAATACTGACTTTCGATCTCCGCCTCATCCTCCCTTTCACTTCCTCGAGTGACGATGGGCACGGGCACGCTCACGTGATCCTGCAGGTTTTCCCCCACCCCCGGCAGGTCCTGGTTGACGAACACCCCTTTTTCTCTGAGGTGCTCGGCAGGGCCGATGCCGGAGAGGAGCAGAATCTGCGGCGATTTGAAGGCGCCGGCGGACAAAATCACTTCTTTGGTGGCGAAAACCTTCAAGAAAGTCCCCTGGAAGATAAACTCGACCCCCGACGCCCTCTTGTCCGCCCCCTCGAACAACACCCTGGTCACCAGGGCGTGCTTGACGACGTGCAGGTTGGTCCTGTTGCGCACGGCCTTGAGGAAGGACTTGGCCGAGTTGTACCTGATGCCGTTCCACGAGGTCGTCTGCGCCCTGACGAAGCCGTCCTGGTGCCTGCCGTTGACGTCCACGTCGGTCCGGTAGCCCAGCTCGGCGCCGGCCCTGATGATGGCCGCGGACAGGGCCGACGTGTGCCTAAACCTTTCCACCGGCAGGTAGCCCTCGGAACTGTGGTACTCGTCGAAGAACTCGTAATTGCGCTCGGACTTTTTGAAAAAGGGCAAAACCTCGGCGTAGCTCCAGCCAGGGTTGCCCAGCTCGACCCAGCGGTCGTAGTCGCGCCGGTTGCCCCGCACGTACTTCATGCGGTTGATGGTGCTCGAGCCGCCCAGCACGCGGCCGCGCGGGTGCCGACACCTTTGCTCGGGGTAGCCCAGGCAGCACGTCTCCTGCGGCACCGAACGCAGGCTCCAGTCGATTTCGCTGTCCATCAGGGCGTCGATGAAACCAGGAACCTTCAAAGAACAAAAAGTTCAAGATTTAGATTTCCATGAAAATTTTAATAATAAATTAGAATTAAATATTTAATTAAAAAACTTTTATATTTCATTAATTTTTATAGTCAATTTTTTATTCTGCTTTAAAATTTGTGAAATTCATAAGCTGTGCAATTTTTAATTGAGCTGAAAGCAAATTTAAGTTTGAAATTTGAAATTGATAATAAAACTATATAGATTAATTTTTAAAAATTGCTATTTAAAACCAAATAAAACAGCATAGACAAGAATTTGATTATGATTTTAGAAAATTTGATTTTTTTTTCAGAGAATTTTATTTTCAAAAAATATTAGCGAGGTAAAATTGTATTTTAAAAATTATTGGCATTGCAAAAATATTTAATTATTTTAATATATTTAAATATTTTCATGTGAAAATTAAAAAAAAAAAATCTGAAAAACAGGCCGAATAAAATTGATAAAAATTTCACGAAATTACATTTACATTCATATCACCCCTATTAAGATGGATGGAAAATTCAATCTAGGTCAGTCGACAAAAAAATTCACATTGATTGTCTAGGATTTATTTTTCTTATTTCAAGTTTTGGCTCAAATTTTTAAATCGAAACCAATTTTATGCGAGAAAACTGTAGAATTTGGATATTTTAAATTTTGATGATTACAGTGAAAATTATTAATGAAATCTCTGTACCTGCGACTTTGGCGGTTCGTCGCCGCCCGCTTCGATGAGCAAAACATTCCATTTCGCGACTTCTGTGAGTCTGCTGGCCAAAACGCAGCCGGCACTGCCGCCGCCAACGACGACGAAATCGTACGTCTGCATGTAGCTCTCGGGCCGGTTGGGCACCGAGGCCGCCTGTCTGCCCAGGTAGCACTGCTCCCACACCAGCGACCTGAGCAGGCTGAAGAGCAAAAGGGTGCCCGACTGACACGAGCCGCCCGCCAAGCTGTTGTTCTCCTCGAAGAGTTCCATCGTCGATTAATTAAATATTCTTCATCAACTTTCATTAAAAGCTGAAAGCGCCCCCTCGCTCTGGGCCAACTTTTCAATTAAAAACACCGCTTTGTCTCTTGACTCATCCTCTTTAAAGAGTGAAACTCGCGTTTCGGTTTTAACAGTAAACATTAGTCATAATTATTTGGAGCTACTTATTAAATTAAATTAAAAGGCCATTATTGCCATTTTTGTCGTTTACCAAAAATAAGATTCTCAATTGAGATTATAAATTAAAAATAAAATAGAGAATTAAAATAAGTAATTTAATCTCAAATTTGAGTTCCTCGATGTTTATTATACATTGGAAACGACACCAAAAACGCAATTAGAGGTCATTTAAATTGTACAACCTCAGTAAAAGGAAGAAATGATGATGAGGGGAATTTGCAGAGAAAATTTATTAAACGTTTTTCTGTTTATTTTAAAAAACTTTTTATTCATTTCAATCATGTTAATTTTATTAAAAATTTATAGTTCTACTTCTTTTTGAATCCGAAATCGAGGTCGAAACCTGGGAAGGTGACGTTGAGGTCTCTGCACTTGACGTAGGGTTGGTCGCCCCACGCGAACCACCACTCCTTGATCATGTCGGCGGCCTTTTCGGCGATCGCGATCACGGGCGCGTTGGTGTTGCCGGACACGATGTTGGGCATGACGGAGGCGTCGACGACCCTGAGGCCGTCGACGCCGCGCACCCGCAGCTGCGCGTCCAGCACGGCCATGGGGTCGGTGGCGGGGCCCATTTTGGCGGTGCACGTCGGGTGGTAGATGGTCTGGCTGTAGTGGCGAATCACGCACTCCCAGTAGTCGTCCGAGTTGATGCCCAGCCGGCCGCACCGCGGGTACACGTTCGGGTTGAGGCGCGCCCCGTGCCGACGCAGCGCCGCCGTCTGCGTCGCCCACTGCACCACAAACCTTAAAAAACGCCAAAAACAAACAAATAAAATCCAACATAATTAATTACAATTGCTTGATTCAAATTTATAGCTAAAAATTATGAATAATTTCGTCATTTACAACTGAATTTATTTATAAATTAAGAGAAATTGTACACAAAACCATCCATGATTTGAATGACCTGTAATTTTTAGTAAAAAATTGTTTTAAGAATTATGTTAATTTTCAAAAGTTGTCAAATTCATAGATAATTTAATAAAATCAAAAACCTATTCCATTCTATACTATATCAATTTTAAGTTTAAAGTTAAAATTGAATTAAAAACTCTTATTATTATTTTTATTATTATTAGTTTTTATTTTCAAGCAGCCCAAGCGGTTTTAATTTTTATATTAAGTCTTTAATTTTAAAAAGAAATAACAAATTAAAACGATAATTTATGAATTTATTAAATCGATTCAGTTTCATTAAATTTGACAAAATGTCTCTTAAAAACACAATTTTCGTCTTAAATTAAGAATTTTAAATTAAAATTCCTTCCTTGAACTTGCTTCTGTTGAGAAAAAACTCAAAATGCTACTTTCTTTCATTCTTTAATTGATTTTTTTTTTAAATAAAACGGAATTTTTTACTACCTGGCGCCTGCAATGAGGGTCTCGACGTCTCTCCTGTCGGTGAAGTAGCCGTGCTGGATGATGGGTGGGTCGTAGGGGTTGTTGCTCCTGAGGGTGACGTTGCCCCTGCTGAAGGGCCGCAGCAGCAGGGTGTGCACCCCGAACGCGTCTTTGTACAGCACGGGTTCGTACACGGACGCGTAGTAGTCGACGGAGAGGCCGTTGGCCCTCCGACCCATGACCCCGCCGTCGATGTTGTCGCCGAACGCGCCGATAAACAACTGGATGTCCGGCCAGTCGTCCTGAATGTCCGTGCTGTTGTCGATTTTGGCCCACGGAAAGACTGTCGTGTCCACAAAAGCCATCACTTCCGCTCCTACAAATAAAAAAAAAACGTAAAAAAATTGTAGAAAACACAGTAATTTAAAAAAAAAAAAAAATTTCAGTTTATCTTCTTTTTTTCTTTTTTTAAATTTATTAAAAATGTTTTCAAGAATATCATTTTTATTACCAGTATGTAAATTAATATTTGCCATTATTGTGTGAAAATATTTCTTTTTTATATAAAAAACATTTTGTAAATTTGAAGAATTATTCAAAAACTAATTAAATATTAATTTCTTCTTCTATAAAACATAAATTTCTTATTCCAAATTTAAATATAAACTATTAATTATTGAATTATTAAAAAAACCAACCTGGAAACGTGGCCATGGGCCCCTCGTTCCTCTTGATGAACCTCTCCATCGCCTCCCAGGTCAGGAGTCTGGGCAGGACGTAGGACACGGGGTTGTCCACCAGAAACAAGTTGCCGCCCGTCGACACGTGGTCCTGCAAATTCTGGCCCACGCCTGGAATGTCCTTGAAGACCGGGACGCCGACGTCTTCGAGGTGCTCGCGAGGGCCCAGGCCGGACAGCATCAGGATTTGGGGCGTGTTGATGGCGCCGGCGCTAAGGATGACCTCCTTGCTGGCGAACACGGTGTGCCGCACCCCCTTCTTCTTGAAAACCACCCCGCGCGCCGCCACGCAGTCGCCCACGTTTTCAAGCAAAATCTTCTCCACGTGCGAGAACATGCTGATGTGCAGGTTCGGCCGATTTCGCGCCGGTCTATGAAAAAAATATCATATTAATTATGTAAATTAATTTTCACGGGGGGAAAAAAAGAAATTTCAAAATTTCCTTGCAATTAACCAATTTTTTATTTTATATTTTAATAACAAAGACTCGCAATTTTATTTAAAATAAAAAAATTGAAAATACTTGTTAATTTAATGAATTTATAGCATTTTGGAAGGAATTTCTATACAAAGTTTCATATATTTAATATTTTGTGAAATAACGAAAATTAAAATTTGGGATTTTTCAATCAAAAATTTGTACTCAATGTTGGCTTAAAATAATTAAAAATCTGGTCAGTTTTAAATAAATCTAAAAATATTCCTTTCTAAAAATGAGTTTCAAAAAGTAGAAAATAACCAAGAAGGAAATAATTTAAATAAAAAAAAAAATGCATCAAATTACCTTAAATAGGCCTTTGCCGTGCTGCACCTGACGCCGTTTCTGATGGTCGCGTGCGACCTTGTGAAGCCGATTTGCCGGCCGCCGTTGACGTCCCTGACAGGGTAGCCCATTTCGTTGCCCGCAGCCAGGAAGTCCCTGACCAAAGGTGTCTGGTAGTTGAAGTATTCGACGCTGAGGGGCCCGCCCGAGCTGTGGAACGGCGAATCCTTGTATCTGCGGATCCGCATGTCCTCGGATTTCAGAAAATAGGCCAGGATGTCTTCGTAGGACCAGCCAGGGTTGCCCAATTCCTCCCAGCGGTCGTAGTCGCGGCGATTGCCTCGGATGTAGAGCATCGCGTTCAGCACCGAGCAGCCCCCGAGGCACTTTCCGCGAGGCCATCGACACCTGGAATTTTCAATTAGTTTGATTAATTTTGCATCAGACAAGAAGATAAGTAATTCTAAATGAATAATCTTGAGTTCATCTATAAAACGGGAAAATATTTAGCTATGAAATTGACAATTTTGCTGAAATTTGTATGGAAACTATAATTACAATTTCTAAATTAATTGTTAATTTTCACAATAGCCAAATAATTAATTAAAATAGATTAATTTTGAGTTATTTCCATTAAGTGGAGTCAAAAGTTAACGTGCAAAAGAATTACGTTGTAAAAACTATAATTTGAAAATCTCTTAAACTAAAATGAAAAACCAAGTGCGAAATTGAGAAGATAAATTTGCATTTAATAAATAAATTAAATCAAATTAATGTCATCAATATATAATCAAACCAGAAAATTGAAAAATACAAAATTAAAGACAAATGATAACAAAATGGAAAATATTTTAGGATTTTAATTTTTTTCTGTACCTTTCGTCTTTGTAGGCGAGACAAGCGTCGCCGGTCCATTCGGGTCTATATTTCCAGTCGACGTAGGAAAACTGGAGGGCGGTCATCAGGGCAGGGATTTCGGACAGGGTGGGTTCGGGTCCGCCGGCCTCGAGCAGCAAAATCTGCCAATCGGCCACTTCGGAAAGTCGGTTGGCCAAAACGCTGCCGGCCGATCCGCCGCCCACGATTATGAAGTCGTAGGTCTTTTTGAAAAATAAAGTGTCCTTCGGCCGCTCGTCCGCCGCGAACAAATCTTGTCTGAAGAAGAAGAGGCCGCTGAGGAAGAGGAATATGAAGGGCGCCCCTGTTGCGAGGGTGTACGCGATCCTCTGCGCCGTGAACACGCTCCGAACAAACACGTTCGTCGTCTCCATTTTTAATTAATTTCTAAAATTAAAAAAGTAATTTTAAATTTTGGTTCAAAATTCATTTAAAATTTACCTTTTCACCAAGTTGAAGCCTTTTCTTGTTTTCTTGAATCATGCATGAGGAAAACTGAAGCTGAGCGTCCTCAAAACTTTCAATTGTTTTCAAGTTTTCCATCTCTGTTTGTAAACAGCATTTCAAGTTCATCGCTTGCTTCTTCCTTTATTAGATATGCTGGCGCAGCATTAATTTTGTTTAATTAACAAAAAAGTGAACTTGAATGTGTTCATAATTAAATTCTTTTTCTAGAATGTCAGAGTAAAAATATCAGGGTTTCTGGGCATGAGCATTTTCATGTGCTCAACTAGCGTTGCTCATGAGCATGCTCACTTGCATGTGCTCAATGCTCATGCTTTATATACCCTTGCTCAACGCTGCTCATGAGCAAAATTTGCTCGAACCTTTCTCATGAGCAGCTCATGCTCAGGTTCCCTGAAAAATATACATTTTTTAAATGATATAAAGATATTTATTCACAATTAAAGTACAATAATGGGGCGCAGTTGAGAACCGTGGTCATAGCCTGTGCATGTTGTTGTCATGCTTAAAATGTAATATTTAATGCAATTGTCAGCACACGCACTCATCAACAGGTAAATTATAAAATAGTCGCAGCCACGCAGCAGTTATAAAAGCAAATCAGTCTTGGACGGAGAAAATGAAACTGCAGATTAAAGGGTCTGGAAACTCAACAAAAGTCAAAATCGCCATCTTTGTTTTTCAAGACGAAATTCTTAAAAAAAAACTTCAACTTTTTTCTCATTACTTCGATGACAATTTAAACCTTCTTAGTTGATTCGAGACCCTTCTTTGAGTTTAAATCACAATCGGTTCCACGCTTTCTTGATGAGGTCGGCGCCCTTTTCGGCCACCATGATGACCGGCGCGTTCGTGTTTCCGCTGACCAGCAGGGGCATGATGGAGGCGTCGATGACCCTGAGGCCCTTGACGCCGTGCACCCTGAGCTCAGGGTCGACGACGGCCTTGTCGTCCCACTCGGGGCCCATGGTGCAGGTGGCGACGGGGTGGTAGATGGTGACCGAGTAGTGGCGCACCATGCACGCCCAGTATTCGTCCGTCCACAGCTTGGTGCTCTTGACGCACTGCGGGAAGGGGATCTGGTGCAGGGTGCTGCCGAAGCGCTGGAACGACTTGGTCTTGCTCATCGCCAGCCCGAACTTGACCCCCTCCACCAGCGTCGCCATGTCGAACGGGTCGCTCAGGTAGTTGGGGTAGATCAGGGGGTAGTCGAACGGGTTGCGCGACCGCAGCTTGATGACCCCGCGTGACCTCGGCCGCAGCAACACGGGAATCACCGACCACACGTCTTTGTTGTCGATCGGACGGAAAACCTGCGGATCAACAATTTCATCAATAAGTTTGATAATCAAAATTTTTTTTTAAAAATTTAATAAAAAAAAATAAAAAAATAAAAAATAATAATAATAAAGAATAAAATTTGCAAATAAACAGCATTAGGTGAATCTGATATGAGCATTAGTAAAAAACTGAATTTGAAAAGACGTTTCGAAAGCAGAAAATAGGAATAATAAGAGAGTGGTGGGGGAACTTTTTGACCATATTAAATATTTAAATAGAGATCATTTATTTATTTTTTTTTTGCAATAACCGAAGAGTTTTAACCACAAATCGATTGTCCATGATCTCAGCATTACAATGATGTGTCAAACATTATAGTATGTTAAAGCCAATACGAATTTGGTGGTCGACGTTTGGACCAATGAGATTGCTCAATTATTAAAATTGTTGTTTTGTCAATAAATCCTTTGATGACTTTGACCTTTTTGGGCACATTTAGATTCCTTGTGACCTCAGCTTGCCAATAGTGCATGTTTTTGCATGTGTCCCCATCTTATCCAGTGATTAATCCGCAATTAAAGAATTAAAATATTGAAAAAGGTGATTTTTAAAGCTAATTTTCATACAATTCTTCATATCTGTAAGCTGAAATTTTCCCCTTTTCAATCATTTTCATGAAAATGATACAAATTTTAGCTCGTTCATATCCACTTTGGATTACTAAATTGCCATTAACAATTATTTTTATATTAATTTTTTAAATTAAATCCTGATTCTATAAATTTGCAACTTTAAGATATTTTTTCCAAAACTTTTACCATATTTTTGAGGTCATTGCATTGAACTCACCCTTTCGTAGAGTTCGTCGGTGATGCCGTGCGCCTTCCTGATTTGCCTTCCGCCGTCAGAGTTTGTCGAGCCGGAAATGAAGTGGAACTCGATGTCTGGGAAGTCGATAGTCTTGTTGGCGTACTTGGTGTTGATGAAGGCGAGGCCCTCGACGCCGCCCATGACCGTGAGCGGGCCGGTGCCCAGCATGGCGTACTGCAGCACCGCAGGCACGTTTTCGTACCGGTTCTGCACCAGCGACACCTCCTGGTTGATCAGGAAGGTGAAGCCGCCCAGACCCACGTGGTCCTGCAGGTTTTCGCCGACGGGCAGGTCTTTGATGACGGGAATCTTGTGCTTGATGAGTTCCTGCGCCGGCCCGATGCCCGACAGCATCAGCAGTTGCGGCGAATTGACGGCGCCGCCAGAAACGATCACTTCTTTCTTGGCTCGCACCACTTGCATTTTTCCGTTGCGGAAGAACTCGACGCCGTACGCGTGCTTCGTCAGCGGATCGATCAACACACGTGTCGCCTGAAACAAAATTTCATTTTAAAGTGGATTTAAGCAGCACATTATTTAAAATCTTATTTATTTTATTATTTAGAAGTTCATAAAACTTGTTTGATTTGGCCACAATATTTTGGAATTTCCCCTAAAAAAGTCTGTTTAAATTTTTTTGGTTGTTTGGATTTTTTGCTCAAATTATTTCCAAACTGATGAAACTGAAAAAATATTTTGGTAAAAAAAAAATACAATTTTTACTTTTTTTTTTAAATTTGACTTAACAATAAAAGTGCTGACCTGAGCGTGCATGGCGATATCGAGGTTCTTGCGTAGCCTGGCCGGCCTGAGGAAGGCCTTGGCCGTGGAGCAGCGGGCGCCCCTGCGGGTGGTGCCCTGGGCCAGCATGAAGCCCGACTGGAACTCGCCGTTGATGTCCCTGTTCTCGTAGCCCATCTCCTGGCCGGCCTGGATGAAGGCGGTGGCTAGGGGTGTGCGCCACGGCGCCTCCTCCACCGTCAGGTAGCCCCCCGACGAGTGGTACTTGGACCTGGAGAGGTACGGGTTGCGGTTGTCCTCGGACTTCTTGAAGTAGTAAAGCACGTCGTCGAAGCCCCAGCCGGGATTTCCGAGGTCGCGCCACGAGTCGTAGTCGTATCGGTTGCCCCGCACGTACAGCATGTAGTTGAGCACCGAGGAGCCCCCCAGCACCTTGCCCCGCGGCCAGTTGCACCGCTGGTTCTTCATGCCCAGGCACGCGTTCGGCTGCGGCTCCGTCTTGTACTTCCAGTCCAGCTGGCTCAGCTGCAAATACGCCGCCAGCACCGGCACGTCCGAAATCTCGGTCTCGTCGCCACCAGCTTCCAACAGCAACACGTTCCAATCGTCGATTTCTGATAATCTGCAACAAAAATAATTAATTATTTAATTAAAAACTTGAATAATTGAAGATTATCATTTAGATTTAAAATATGCTTCGAGATTCAAGTTCACATGCCAAATGAGTTGGAATTAAACATAGAAGTGATAAAATTTATAATCTGTAGATTATTTCATAGAACTTTTTAGAATGTCCTCTAAATTCGAAAGTCATTTCTTATAATTTTAAATTTTCAATAGAAACGCTCATATATTTGAAATGATTTTTAAAAAATATGTGAATTTAATTTTTATTTTATTTCTTGTATAATATGACAAGTGCAAATTAAAATTTATATGGTTGCTGCATGGATTATCGTACAGCTCCAGCTATTGTACAAATCGTAAGAAAGCCGTATTATCGCTAAGCTATTGAAATTTTTTGAAAAAATATTGACATAAAATGCACCCCACATCTATTTTGAGTCGATAAAAATTAGTTTATAAACGATTTTCTCCTCTAATCAGGAGTGAAGAGGAAAAAACAAAGTCGCAACCTGTCAACGGCTTTCTGTTGTTATGAAACGGGCATTGAGACCCCTGCTGAAATTAGGCCACTGCATTCAAATACGCTAATATTTTGAACTTTTCTACCAATGGCATAATAGATTGATGCTTCTTGATTAAATTTATCAAAATATTTATTGGAAATTAATCAACTGTAGAGAGGTAAATGCATTTTTCCTCTCTGTACAATATTCGGGTCACTTTAACGCAGGGCTCCAAAGATTGTACAAGAAGGACGCTGGTTATGTATTTCTCGCTTTAAAAGAGTTTTATGTGGTTTTATGCTAAAAAAAAATTGCCATGGACCGGGGTATATAAAAAAATTAAAATTTTTACGTCTGGCGAGACTAAAAACCCGGGTTTAAATTGAAACTAACCTGCTGCTTTCGCTGGGAACTGAACTCGGCCGATGCATGTCACCGGGATGGACCAAATTTTCTCTTGTTTTCGCCCAAAAAACCCGCACTTCGCCCGAATTTTGAACAGAAAAGCGACTCTCGACATAACTAGACACATTGTAAACAAATACTGACTCCGCCCACCTAATTTCCCTCTGATTCGCTGCACAAAAGGGCGCGATTGCATAGTGTACCATAGTGCACTGTTTTGCTGCTGGCGGCGCTTCCCAATTCTTAAATTTTTGCAGCAACACTTGCGTTAAGAGTCCCGGGAAAAAAATTATTCGTGGTTTTTTTATTAATAGCACAAAAGGAAATTTAATTCTGAATGTAATGATATATTTTAGAACTAAAATTTTTTACTAATTTTATATAATAATTAAGGATTTGCAAATGTTTATTATTTTTAATTAAAAATATTTTTTACAAGCATGGTCAAATGAGATAATTTATAGGCAATCAAATAAACTTTCTTTGCGCAATTGTCATTTTGTTTGTAAAAAATTTTTTTGACACTTAAAATAAAGCTAAAAAATTAAAATTCATATTTTGAAGAAGAAAAAAATTTTTAGGAATTTTTTTAGCATAGCCAATCGATTCAGCGTGCAAAATTTAGTACAGTATCAAATTTTGGTTGAAAAAATCACAGTGGTTCAAAAGAAATTAATTAATTGCATATTTTAACGATTCTCGGAAAATAGTATTTTTGTTCGGACAACATAACTTTTTAACTGCTTGGATTTTTTTTCTCAAAACTTCACTTCTGCATTAAAATAGTACGCTAGAACGATTGGCTATGCTGAAAAAATTCTAAAATTTTTTTTTCTGGTAAAAATTTGATACTTTAATTTTTTAGCCTTTATTACAATGGCAAGAAAACGTTTTAGGGCAAATTTTACAATTACAAAAAAAAAGCTCATTTTATTTTCTTTAACTTATCTCATTTGACTATGTTTCTAAAAAAATTTCTTGATATAGAAAAATAAACATTTGCAAACCCTTAATTATATTATGCTGCAAGCCAAAATTTCAAATTTTTAAAAATATCAAGGAAACGACAAATAAATTTCCTTTCTGGGTATAAAAATTAAAATTATATTTGCTAAAACAATAATGTTTCCCAGACGCTTAAACTTTGGAAACGATATATTTCTCGTTGCTCTGGAGTGTACAATAATTGGCCCTCCCCTGTACAATAGCCGGCACTGCTGTACAATAATGTATGCATTTCAATGTTTGACGTTTAAACGCAAGTTCCCGCCACCTGGTGGCCTATGAACAAAATATCAACCGATCAGCTGTTTCTCTAACATGTTTTAAGTCAGAAAATGTAACCATTTCAAAAATATTCCAATATTTGGTGAGCCAGAGTCAGTTTATAGGTGAGCGAAACCTTAACTGTACGATAGCCTACGCAGTAACCATAGTTCTTGTATAAATAATTTTTAAAAATTCATGCAAAATTTCATAAAAATACATTCCAATGGCAGCATTTTTCAAGGAATTCCCAGCATATAATGATAAAAATTGTATATGGAAAAATATGAAATCGTTGGAAAAAGCAGCGTTTTGTTAAGCCACCTGTTTGCGACGACGGCGCCGGCCGAGCCAGCGCCGACCACTATGAAGTCGTAGATCGGTTTGACGACCTCTGCGTCAATCGGTCTGGACTCAGGGTCGATGAGGTCGTAGTGATAGTAGGCGAGCGTGGCGACCAGAAGGGGTGCGAACCACAGACCGGCGGTGGTCACGGCGGTCGACGCGCCCGTCAGCAGGGCGGGCAGGGCGGCGGCGGCGGCGGTCGCCATTCTCTCACTGCATCACAATCTGCCAAATAAAGTAATTATTAAAGATTTTAAAACTGTCAAAAGTCATTAGGAGGACTGATTTTTTTAAAATTAACATTGAAATTTTCTTGAATTATGATGAAAAAGAAAATCTATATATTCAGTTGACATCAGAAGTTATTAACAAATGAACATTGATCTGATGGATAAAGTTTGAGAAGTTGTAATTTCAGTGTAGATACCTGAAGCTATTCTTTAAGAATCAAAAATCGATTTCAGGTGAAAGTGAAATCCGGGCAAAGCGTGATCAGAATAACTATTGGAAAGCAAAATTGGTCAACGTGCCAAAAGGGAGAGAAAGAGAAATTATGACACTTTCGATTCTGTATCAAATACTTGACAAATTATATCACAGGAAAAATTAATTCGATTTTTAATTAAAAAACAAAATAATTATTAAAAAAAAAAATTAAAAAAACCAACCAAATTTCTAAAAATGCGACAAAATCTATTGTACTATAGATAAAATTTAAGGATTTTTTTAAATAAAATTTTTGAATTTTTAAAACCAAGAGAGTTGTTGTCAGTTGTGTCTGCTTTTTGGTGAGATACCTGAGAGCGATGGGGATTTATAAGTGATTGTGCGGCTGGAGGTGCTGAGTGGTTTGTGTGACCCGCGGTGCGCGACTGACTGACGGCAATTCGGAGCCTCCAAGCAGCTAGATTTCACCCTGGGTGAAAGAGCGACAACAGGTGCTTCCCCGCCACTCTCCAAATTTGTATTCAGAAACGCTGCGAACGTGCTCTGATTTTAATTTTTTACTTTCCTGAACCGTCACACGTAGCTCATCGATAATAATTTTTGGCACTTTGTAAAACAATTACAAAAAAAATCAATATTAAATATTTATTAAATCAGCCCAGGATTTCTTGCTTGTTTTCATAAAAATTTTAATATGAAACAATTTTACATATTAACATTATATGTAAATAAGTATTTCTTTTCTTAATTATGATATAATTAGAATTGTTTTTTTTTTCCTTTTAAATTACTTTATGCACCATTAAAAAAAAAATCATTTTTATCGCAACTTGAATAGGAAGGAAAACTGGTCTTTCAATTTCATAACTATATGATTCACTTTGAAATGCTAAATTAATTTTTTCAACAGGTACGAAATCACGATAAACCGACAAGTGAGCCAACAATGATTAATTTTGATTCTAATCCCGGATTAAGCAGTCGCGAATTATAATTGAAACAAATCCTGTTTCTTTCAAATCAGTCGAAAGAAGTTTTCGTCGACAAATTTTGCAACAATTGAAGAGGTGAAACTTTCGTTTATTGGCAGCGTTTGCCGTTCTTTGAACTCGCGTGGCGTCGGCCAATTTTCCGTCAAAAGGCGTTGCGACGAAAATGCCAACGCGACGCTCAAAGATAAAAACGGCACTCTGCGCGCCGCGATATTTCACAAACGGAATCTCCTTAAGGAGGGCCAATGTTGACGCTGCTGACTTGCGATTAATTTTCTGAAACAGTCTCACTTAACAACTCATTCACGTCCGCCGCTGAATGCACGCGAGTTCCGTTAATTTATCGCCGAGCCACACACACGTGGGATTGTCGATGCACCCTTTCCTCTTAATCGGCACAAATTGCGCAAAACTAAGTTCATATCAATTCATCAAATTGATAAATTTGGCTAATTTTAATGTTTTGAATTTATTTCAATCTTAAATCACAAGTAAAAATTTAATTGTTATTTTAATATTTATATAATTAATTTTTTATGTATTTTCAATTGTTTTCTTTTGCTGAAATAGTATAAAAAAATATGCCGAAAAACTTTTCTTTCATTAAAATTTGGCTGCTTGATTATTGAGAAACATTACCTTAGTTTTCCATAATTATTAATTTTATTGTGTAATGAATAATTATTTTAATTCATGATTATCAGTACAATAATTAATACCTTTTGAGAACTTAAAAAATTGAAATTAGGATAATTAAGTATGTTGAAATTGAAACTACATTTTTACCTGTAAAACTAAATTAACATCTGTACTCTCTCATATATTTTATATTTATTAAACGAATGAAAATATCATCAATTAATAAAAATTCAAGACTTTTGGAGAGTTTAAAGTGAATATTTCATTAAACTTTTAAATATAGTATTGATTTTGTAATAAATTTTGTACGCACCTCTTTGGAAAAACGCAAATTGCCTCGATTTTATACCGCCGAGATTTTTTCTTTCTTTCTTTCTGTGAGTCAGTCAGTCAGGATGCGAGTCTCGAGTAACACTACTGGCCTACCAGCTGAGGAAGCCGCGAGATAACGGGTTCGCAGGTATGGACGAGGATAACGGTGTGATCCTCAAAGAGTGCTCGAGAGAGGAGAAAAGCCGGAATAATGAAAACACGCGCGGATCGCTCTTGCATCTCTAGTATATTGTTCCGTGTCTCAATTTTGGTGCCGCTCACGTACGCCAATCGTCAAGTCAAAATCCCCCATTTTCCATTATTACACCACATATCTGAATTCTGAGGAATTTTTAATTAAATTTGATATCAAAATTTTATAATTAAGTAAAATTAAAAAAATGCAATTTAAAAAAAAATTAATTAAATATATTTTGGTGCTTTTTCCAATACAAAAACAAAAAGGGTTGAGTATGAACCTGCTTTTTTCAAACTGAATTACGCTAAACAAAAAATTATAGATTGAATTTGAATTTGAATGCTTTCGTACAAGGTGGGCAGTTTGTCTCTAATTGTAAGTGGAGCTTCAAAGAGTGCTAATACGTGTAACGAGCACAAAGGAAATCACCTTGGTGAAAGAAGAACGCGGCATTGGTCACATAGGCCATCTTCAAATTCAGGACGCTCTTCGCGTCTTGCGTCATTATCAAACTTTCATGCAACGCAAACTGATGACAAATCAAATCAAGTCAATACAAAATTAAATAAAATCTTTCTCCTCAAAGCCGAATAGAAGATTTTACAATTTCGTAATAAATAGGCAAAATTATTATAAATTTATTTGCAGTTAAAAAGGAAATGGAATTAATTTTATAAACTATTAATTTTTTTAAAATAAAACTCATTCTTTATATCTGTGTTTATTTGTTGTGATTTCAGGAGGATGCTGCGGCTCGACCAAGAAGACGACCATAGTTGGAGGGTGGGCCTGGGCATGGTGGCTCGTCACAGACGTCCAGAGACTTTCATTGGAGGTAAATTTCGGGAGACCCGCATTTATCATAATTTCAGTTGTCCTAAAAATTCATAAAATCATTTGCCATTTAAAATTTTTCATTTTAATATTTTTGTCTTAATTTTTGCCCATTTCTCCTAAATCTCGTTGGGCCTCGGCCGGTCTCGGTGGGTTTGAGGCCCATATAAGCAAATTTTTTAATTAAAATCAATAATTTCTTTTTAATACATTTTAATTTTAATTAATTACATTTTAATTTATTATCAAGTCAATTCAATTCATATCTATTATCTATTTCAATAAAAGTTTCATTTTATAATGTTTATTTAGTGTCAACTTATTCAATTTTGCTTGCATTCATAAATTTTATTTAAACTGAATGCATAATTGAATGCATTGTATGAACTTTAAAAGCAGCAAAATAAATTTATTTCAGATTCTATATTTTTAGGACACTTTCATTCAAAACTAATGAAAGGTAAAATTACTTTTTTTGGGACTTTTGCTTTTAGGACAAATAGAGAAATCGAAATCGGTTTTAGGACAAATTATTTTAAGGCAAATAACGGTGACTCTAAATTTCCGCAGACATTCAAAAATCATTTTTAATTATGAAATTTATATTGAAATTTTTGTAATGAATTTTTGCAGGTGATGACTCTGAATCCGATGTGCGAACAAGTGGAGACTGCGCAGGGCGTGCCCCTGACGGTGACTGGGGTGGCCCAGTGCAAGATCATGAAGGCCGAGGAACTTCTGCAAACAGCCTCTGAGCAGTTCCTCGGCAAGTCCATCAAGGAAGTCAAGATGACCGTTCTGCAGACACTCGAAGGCCACTTGAGAGCCATCCTAGGTGCGTTTCAAAAAAAGATTGATCTAGTTTCACTGAGATGAAAATTAAAATTAAGTATATTTTGCAACAATGCAAGATTTAATCATGAAGTAATTCTAAGCACGTTATTTATGACTTTGAAATATTACAAGGTCATAGAATTTTAAGAATTTCAACGCGTTCTATAATTTTAATCTGTAATTCCATTCGTTATTTATTTATTTTTTTTTTTAAGTTGAAAAGTTGTTCTATTATCTGCTTTTTTCCCGAGATATTTGCGATTTATCTTCTTTTTTTACAATGCATTGTACTTTTGATGAGTTGGTTGATATTCGCGTCCGCTTTTTTTTGCCGCGCCTGCAAAGTTTAAATTGAAGAAGTGTGCATTGCAGATGATTCGATTCTGCAATAACCGACTCTCAGCACAACAACTTTTGTGCATTTTTATTTCGGTACGATCGCTGCTGGCGGCGAGCACAAGTTTCTATTTCTATTCCGAGTGGCCCTCAATAATTTTGTCGCGCGTTGAAAGTGCAAGGCTTCGGTCAAGAGAGCAAAATCGTGGGACTTTCCCAATCCGTAATTATAAAATTAAAATTGCACCCCGCTGGGTGTTATAATTGTCGCCGATGCAGGCCAAAGATTGGTTAAAGCGTGCATTGATTTGCATAACATAACATTAGTCTTAGTTAAAGGACAACACTAGTAATTTTTTTTTAAAGAGGACCTGTTCTTATGACCAACGCCAAAATTGCGATAAAAAATTTGTGATTTTCAAAAAGAGCAATAATATTGACTTAAAGGTTCAAATTCATCTGGCAGGAATATTAAGGTTCGAAGGGTGGAATTTTTTAATATTAAGAAACTAAGAGTTGTTTCTTGAATTAATAATTTAACAAAAATAGCTTAAAAATCTTCAAATTTTATTGATTTTGCTCTTAATTATTTCAAACAATTAATAATTGTTTAAAATTAGAATATTTTTGCAATTATTTTGTGTAGAAAACTGTTGCAATTCTTTAAGTCACGTTGATTCACCATGAAATATAGAGCAGGAATTGCCAAGTGAAGCGTAGTTGCAAATCGTGGCTTGATATCAGTCAATAGTGCCGATGGCGTGTATATTTATTCACTTGGCAGAGCGTTGAGCGTCGCCAAGGTTGATCCGTGCACGCTAATTAGTGACGTCGCGGCTGATGATCAATTACTCCGCACAACAGCGGCTTCCGTCGCGAGTGCGTCGATCGATTCATTTTTCCAGTTTTTTTTCACCCCACTCGCATATATTATTTTTTTTCGCTCAGTGGAAGGGCAGAAAGAAAGCATTTCGTCACCCAAGGCCCTTTCGGACCAACTTTTGCATTACCAGAGCGAGTGCACTTGTATTTTTCCATAATCAATATATACAGTGGAAACAAACGCGCGCGGCGCGAGTACGTCTTGAGCAAGGAAGGCTTCAGTGCTGCTCTCGCTCAAATCCGCCCGCTCATTGCGTCTCCGAGCGGCGCTCGAAAATGTTGGCCAATTTGGAAGCGCTCGGCTTGGGTCTCTCCATCGCGATCACGGTTTTTGTTGTTAAAAAGTGAGTACATTTTCATGAATATTAACAATTGAATCAAAAAATTCAATATCAATTAAAAAAAATGAAATTAATTTTAAGGTTTTTTCAAAAGGGATAATGTTAGTTTAACCGAAATTTTCACTATTTTAATTTATTTTGTTTTTAAAACTTTTCATCAGTTTTTCATTTATATAATAATAATTATATTTATCACAGTTAAAATAACAATATTTAAATTTTTTTATAAATATTGAATAAAAATATTGTTTATTCAAATTAATGGTACAAAAATCTAATAACAAAATGTTTTTTAGCGCCATTATTTCATAGTTTCCCTTATAAATTTAAGTTTTCTTTTCAAATTTTATATAACATATGATTTAAACACAGTAATTTTAAATAATGAACCAAAAAATATTTAATTCATTAGTTCTACTTTTAAACTATTAATTTCAATAACAAATACAACGAGGACAAGCTTATTCATTTCCATGTAATTTAGTATTTTCTATTTCGAATATTTCAAATTTATTTTGTTACGAAATGTTTGAGTGAAAATCTTTCTTTACTTTTTCACTCTGCTGCTTATCTCCCCTTTTGCAATAATGTTTACTTCAAATCAAACATCACGATTCCGCGCAAATAAGTAAAGATGATAAAAATATCGAGGATTATGGAATAAACGCGACACGCAAAAGCAGCAAAATGATGGTGTTGCGAGTTTTACGTGGAAAAAATCATAATATAATCAGCTGGACAAATTGCTTCCGTTGTAAATTGAGCAGCCAAGCCTGCAATTTGTATTTTTACTTCTTTTCAATATAATAATTAGTTTTTTCGTTTGGTTAACCTCAAAAATCGTCTCATTGGCCGCAAATAAAAAATCACGCAACATGTTGATGAAATGACGAATTGGAAGGAAAAAACAAGTTGCCCAATTTAATTAATCAACGGAATTGTGAATTTTCGCTTTCAGGAACTCTTACCGTGGAAGAGGTGTACAAAGACCGGGACCAGTTCGCGGCGCTGGTGCGCGAGGTGGCGGCGCCCGACGTGGGCCGCATGGGCATTGAGATCCTCTCGTTCACCATCAAGGACGTGTACGACGATGTGCAGTACTTGGCCTCCCTCGGAAAGGCGCAGACGGCCAACGTCAAGCGCGACGCGGACATCGGCGTCGCCCAGGCCAACAGGGACGCTGGAATCAGGGTAACAAAATCTCAACACACTCATTTGTTCAATTTTAATAAATTTAGACTAAATTTTAAACACCAAAAAAAGAGTATATATATAGAAATTTATTAAACACAAAATGTGTACAACTTTTCAACGTACAATTAATTATTTACGATTCATAAGAGTATAAATGTTTTTTTATGAAAATTATCAACCCAATTAACTTTTGAATTAATTTTTTTATGTAGAAATTTGTCTTAATTTTGTGCCTGATTTTTTTTTCTCACATATTTTCATTGATTTTGATGCAAATGCAAAGTTCATCAATTAAAATGAAAATTTATTAAAAACCCTTACAAATTTTTTCCTTTTTTTTTAGTTTTAAAATTACCGCTGTTTTTATTTCCCTGCAAAAACAATCAATTTTTGCCTCAAATCAACTATTTTTCCCAGTCCTGATTGAAATTGTTGAATTAAAATTTACATCATTTACTAATTTGCAATTATTTTCTTGCAGGAAGCAGATTGCGAGAAATCTGCGATGGACATCAAGTACAACACGGACACAAAAATCGAGGACAACTCAAGGATGTACAAACTGCAAAAGGCCAATTTCGACAAGGAAATCAACACGGCTGTAATTTTTGATAAAAAAAAAATCAAGACTTGTTATAAACAAAAATTGTAATTTTGTAGAAAGCCGAGGCTCAATTGGCCTACGAGTTGCAAGCGGCCAAAATCCGGCAGCGAATCCGAAACGAAGAAATCCAGATCGAGGTTGTCGAGAGACGCAAACAGATCGAAGTCGAGCAGCAGGAGGTGCAGAGAAAGGAAAGGGAGCTTTCGTCGACCGTGCGCCTCCCTGCCGAAGCTGAGAGCTACCGCGTCCAGATGATTGCTGAGGGCAAAAGGTACAACAATTGAATTTGGTTGCAAGTCAAATTTATTGGTTAAAAATTAACAATTTTTTATAGATTTTCATTCCTTTTTTAAGGAATTGTAAACTAAATTATTTAACCAAATTAATATGTAGATTTTTTGGAAACAACATAAAAGTTTATATTTTTTTAAATTTATTATCAATGAACTAAATTTAATTGCTATAAACTCAAATCCCTGCCTTGATTTTGATATTTTTACAAATTTATTAAATTATTAGTTAAATTTAATTTCAATTTTGGTGAATTCCAGAACGCAAACTGTTGCCGTGGCGCAGGCGGAAGCAGAGAAAATCAAAAAGTTGGGATCGGCCGAGGCTTATGCCATCGAGGCGGTCGGCAAGGCCGAGGCCGAGCGGATGAGAATGAAGGCGGCCGTTTACAAGCAGTACGGAGACGCGGCCATCATGTCACTGGTGCTCGAAGCACTGCCAAAGGCAAGCCAGATTTATTTATAAATTCACAGATTTTAACTTGAATTTTATCAGATTGCCGCTGAGGTTTCGGCTCCGCTGGCCAAGACCGAGGAGATTGTGCTTCTCGGCGGCGACAACACAGGCACAGGAGAAATTGCGCGGTTGGCTGGCCAGCTGCCCCCCGCAATCCAGGCGCTAACTGGAGTGGACGTTTCAAAGGTTCAACTAATTACTTTTTCAAATAACAACAATTTTTATGGAAAAATGACACTTCATATTTTAAGAATTCTAACAATATAATTTAATAAGCCGTGTTTCCTAAACAAATTTTTTAATTTATATTGTCACGATGGAAAAAAATGTATATTGGCAAATTTTAATTGCTTTTTAAATGGATTAAAATCTTAACAGTGAATTTCATAATCAATTTCATAATTTTTTATCCAAATTCAATTGTATTAAAATGAACATTTGAGTCATTGAAATAAAATAATTTCAAATTAAAAATGATGCATTAAATTATTAAAACTGAATTTGCAATAATATCACAAAAAATTCAACTAGAATTATTGAATAAAATTGTTAATTTTTGCTTTAAAATTTAAATTGAAAAAAAATTGTATCTTAGTTAATTTTAATAGTTATCAAAATCATTAATATAGGATTACATGATTTTATTTTTTAATCTTTTCAGACACTTTTAATTAACAAATGATTTCATTTTCAGGTCCTAAGCAAATTGCCTGGCGCCAAGTAAGCCGAGCAGGCGCTACGTACAAGCATTATTCACCAACACAGCTCTTTTTTCACATCAATCTCAGATCTGAGCTACTGATCTGAACCCTAAGTTTCAAAAAACATGTATAAAAAGGAAGATTGAAGCCCTCCAGAGTTACGTCGCATCGCTAATTTACTTTCCGCGAATTCAATCTCTCTGTCAATGATTTGAGCAAGTTCTGTTAATTAAACTTGAGGTACCTGCCTTGAAAGCCATTCACTGCGTTAACTGTAATAATTTCCGCAACGTTCCGAAACAATATATAATGCAATTATTGTATACAACCATAATTCATCGAACTTCTTTGAAAAAGCAAGTCCCGATTTCTTTCTGTTGAAGCACAAGAGGATTTTCACGGCCTTTATTTTGAGGAACCAGTGAGGTGTAACAAGGTAGTTGTAGGTCTCTCAACCTGAGCCGATGTGTTCACTAAAAAAGAAAATTGAAAATTAAAAACGAACGATGCATTTTGATCAAAATTGGCGAATTGCTGTTCTTTACTCTCAAATCAACCTTTCAAAATAAATAAATGGCACTCTCAGCAATTCGTTTGGCAGGATGATTATTGTTGTCCTATTAAATTTGTTCCGACATGTTTTTGTTCTTAAACATACCAGGGTGCCTCTCACATAGATGGATGAAATTTTAAAGTAAAAAACTTTTGATAATATCTCACTGCAGATCTGAATTCTCTCGTCGATGTGCAACCAAAATTATGAATGTCAAATTTGTCGCTACATGAAATCTTAAAAACAGATGTGCTACATTTAGGCAGTGTGTTGTGCATATTTTTGTACTCTTATTGGATTAAGTTTATTAATTTTGTTTCTAAACAAACAAATTATTATATATCATTTCGTATATTCAACATTAACATTAAATATATATAAAAAGTTATGTTAATTACTAACAGGAAATGGAGGATTGAATGACGAAATGGAATCTGGCTTTTATTCAACAGCTTTGTTGGATTTTTTTAATTTGAAAAATTACTCTTGAATTTTATGTAAAAGACAGTAAATGAGTAAAAAACTATCCATTGAACTCCGTTTCCATTTCGTCTCAAATTTTTCCTCGGGTGCCCATTTTTTCACTCAAATATGAGATTGCAGTTTTATTATTGAATAAAAAATATAGTTGCCACATGATTGAATCACAAGTACAAGTGTTAAATAGTCATGCTTTTGAACAACAGAATCTCTCTTAAAAAGGAAATTCTGATTGTGAGTTGAGGAATTATTGTTGTTTGAAAAACTGTGCTGGCTTTTTAAAGTTTTATCCTGAGAGTAGGAAATCTGAATTTTGTGTTTTAATTTTTCTTCGAAGGATTTGTAAAACCAACAAGGCAAGAAGTGTTGAATTAATGTATAACCAATCACCCCTTTTCTGTTTTGCATAGATATTACATTATTGAGTGTGTTTTGCATGGCACAATATAAATGGACATAATTTGGCAGCGATTCCGGTGCCGATCTTTGAAATTGTTTGTTTTGCGGTCAAATTAACCTTTAAGAAGAAAAAATAATGAGAAATTTATGAAAAAAGTGTATATTAAGACAAAGCGCACGTGTGCAGTCTATCTTTCAAATCGAGCATACAAAATATGTCTGTGTGTGTGGATTCGAGCTGTGTGTATAAAAGCGGCATAGCTCTGATTGTAACCCCCGCCTCACCGTAATAATAATAAGAAGAAGAAGTGATAATCTTGCAGCAACTCTTGGACAAACATTTGCCGCCGTCTCATTACATACAAAACAACAAAATCCAAACTCACACGCATACACAGCAGCCACACACTTGAATCACCTTATTATATATGATGATTATATATCAAAATAATAAAAATGTTTTGGCCAAACACCATCTTCTTGTTTCAATTAAACTATAAAATTACTTCTTCGAATTTTACTTTGATATTTTGTTTTCTGAAAATCTAGAGCTTGAAATTGTACATTTATTTATTTGGAAGAATATTTGCAATAAAAAATTTATTTACATTTATTTTTTATAATATAAGCCCGATATTTTTAAATAAACTTCTAAACTTTTGGATAGAAAAACAACAAAAATTTGCTACAGAAAAATTTCAAAATAAATAATCTATGTAGCCTATTTTTATAACTTGAATTTCCTTAAAATTACTTTAAAGATGAAATTAATTAAAATAAAATTAAATAATAAGGAAAATAAAAATTATGGAAAAGAATTATAAATTTAGATATTAATGTAATTATATATATATTTTTTAATTCACTTATTTTGATCTGTTTTGACCGAAAAGAATAAATAAAAATAAATAGGGCATAATAAAAGATAGGCCGAGTACGCGTGACTGAAAGAGTAAATTGATCTGTGCACCCGAGCCGGCCGGCACTGAATTGCGGAAAGGGTGGGTTTGGCCCGCAGTGCAGGCGCCGGCGCCGACGCGACTTCTTCTTCTTGAAAGTGCATCAAGAAAATAAAAGAATTGCTGCTCGGCGGCGGCGGCGGAGCGAGTGAGTGGCGAGCGAGAAGTGCATCGGAGGTGCAGGCGAAAGGCGAGTCAGATTAGGATTTGAGAAATTGCAGAGAGGCGCGCGATGAACGACGACACGGCGGCGGCGGCCGACGAGCCGCGGCCCAAACACGTCAACATTAGGGTGACCCTGATGGCGTCGGACGACGACGACGACCAACACGTCGACCGGCAACGATTTGCATCAGGAAGGAGGAAGAGCAGGTCAACCAGTGTCAACGACGCCTCCACCACAAGGTCCGAGACATTCATTCCTCTCCATATATTACAATTTTGTTGTTGAATATTTAAATTAAAAAATTTATTAAATCTACAAAAGAGCAAATTACATTTTTTTTACATTTAAAGTTAATTATTATTTTTAAAATTTAAAATTTAATTGATATTTAATTAAAATTATGTAAAAGTTACTTATTATTTAATGTAGTATACAAAAGTACACGAAGCAAAATTAATTTTATTTTAAAATAGTTTTAAAGTTTTTAAATAAAATTACTAGATTGATGTTTTGGTTATAAATTTAAGTGGAAAGTGATCAAGTTCAGCAGTGTAATTAAAATCAATGAAGTGAAAGTGTTATATATTATTCAATTTAATTAAAATTATTGTTAATCGTACCTGATCCATTTTAATTAAATACGTATAAAATTTATGTCAGAGAAATTTTCTTATTTCAATCTCGTCAAAAGCATGTTTCGCTGCCAACTTTTTATTCAGAAAATGTTGAACGTGGTAAGATTTTAAAGGTTAAATTTACTTCATTCAATTTCATCAGGTGCACAATTGATAATAATGAATATTAAATTTTATTGTTTTTTATTTCTTTTGAAATATTGTTTACAGAAGCCTATTTTCAATTCAACTCTGAAAAACAAACTATATACTTCTTCATTGATTTTCGAATCGATAAAATCCAACCCTTGTTCACTTTCCAACACGCATGAATTTTTAACTTAGGCAACCTGTCCAGCAGATCAGCGGAGAGGGTTGCATATTTTTTATTTTAATTGTTTTCATTTTGCAGTCGGCAGAACGGAAAGCGCGTGTTCTTCCGGCCGAATGGGACGCCGCACGTGCGGAGCCACTCGGTGCCGGCGTCGCTGCAGCAGCGCCAGCAACAGTCGCGGCGCCGCTGGTCGCCGCCGTCCGGCCGCAGGATCAGCCAGCGCCTCCTCAGGACGCACCTGACGCCCAGGGCCACCGGCTTCAGCAGTTTCGACCGCGACCAAAAGCTCGTCTTCGCCTCGCTCGCCCTCGTCGACTTTGTCAGCTTTTGCTCCATGTCCATCATGGCCCCATTTTTCCCAAAAGAGGTAAATTAAACAAACTCAAATTTTGTTCAATTTTCATTTATAGATTTGCACTGAGAATGTTTTCAGCCTAAAATCTAAGCTTTGATTTAAAAGAAAATAAAATGTAAAATTTTATTAATTTTTAAATACTTGATCTGATTTTTTAACTTTTTCATTTACAAATGTAATTGACACCTAAAATATTACAGAACCTCAAATTTCATCATTACAATTTTTTGATTAAGTACAATATTTTTATATTTTGAACGGTCTAAAGTGGTTCTTTCTAAATTTTTCAAAGTGGAAAAGAAGCCGAAGCAAGTGCATAAGATGTTTGATTATGAGGAGTGAAGTGGGCCAAGGTTGGCAATGCGCCTGCTCTTGGTGCTGTGTGTGATGGAACTTAACAATTGGACGACACTGCACCCCGGTCGCCGAGTTGCATACATTGCGCTTATTTTTAGAAGCCTCTGCATGCACCGCGCTCTTTTGACGGACACTTTTGCATTTTCCGCACTCTCGAGCTCAAGTAAAATCGTAAATAAAAAACTATTAATCCAATTTTTTTGCAACGGTCATAACCTTGAGATTTTGATCTGATCATTTTTAATTATTTCGCTAAAAGTAATTATTGACTAAAAAAATCAATGCAGAATGAAAGGGATTGAATGCATTTTAATAACCTTCGATTTCTTATCTCTGCGTTCGTTTATCACTCAATCGCGGAAAACTAGTTCTTTTATTTTGCTATGCACGGCGACGCGAGGCCACTTTATTTATTATTATTATAAACCTGCAAACATCACACGTATGTTCTTTTCATTCTTGTGTGTAACATAATAATATATTGCTATTTTATTACTACATTTTACTCTCAGGTTGTGATGCAACCTGCCATGAATAATTGTAAAACGTTTCTCTTTTCGCATTTGTTCGCCTCTTTAGACGCATCTGCAGTCACGTGAGCCTTATTGGCTAATTAATTCGCTGGCGATGAACCTGAATTCATGCGTGCGCGCCGCAACCAAGCTTTATTGCTCACAATCAGTCTGCATAACACGTATTAATGCGGCGGGTTGTTGCCCTCAAGTTGGTCTCTCTGATAAGTAATAATGCAGCTTATTTGTGTTTTAATAAGTTTTCTAAGAATAAAGGTTCACTTATCACCATCAATATACAAAAGATTGTTTTACTAGAATGTGTAATTATTATTTTTATTAAATTTATTTTATTACATTGAACTTAAACTTTCCTCCGTGATTCATGGACCATGAAAAAACAATGAATTAAATCGAAATTTAAAAAGAAATTGATCAAAATTTCACCAAAACCAGTTGAAATGATTAAATTAAGTTGATAAAACATATAAATCATTGTATGAAAGCTTAAAAATTAGAAATATGCATTGAGCGTTTTTTTTTCTTAAAATTTTTTGATTACTTTAAAATTATCATTACCAATAAAAATAAAAATTTTACCGGGACTTTTAATTGAAATTGATTTTATTAATTAAAATTTGTATTCTACTCAATAATTAATAACAATTAATTAATTCAAAGAGCAAAAAACTGATTAAAATTTCAATAAGACAAGTTCTAATCAATGAATTAAGTTAATTAACAAAAGCTCATAAATACTTATAAAATATTTTTAAATTACTAAATTATTTGTTATTTATACTAATTTTTCGTTTTGCATGTTTTCAGGCGTCTGCCAAAGGTGTGAACGCCACAGTTTCAGGGCTTGTCTTCAGTTTCTACGCGTTTGTGATGTTCATTTCATCGCCGATCTTTGGCAAAATAGTGAGTAATGATTTAGCAAGAATATAAATTAATTTTTTTTTACTAAAATCCGAATTTGTAGCTTCCACTGGTCGGAGCGAAATTCATGTTCATGTCGGGGATGTTTGTGGCCGGCGGGTGCAGCATAATTTTTGGGTAACGAGGCATAAAAGATTGTTGGATCGCAGGTCAGTGACCTGGGTTTTCAGGCTGATGGACCGGATCCGCGACACGACCACCTTCATCACGTACAGCTTCCTGCTGCGCGGGACAGAGGCGTTGGGCGCCGCGGCCTACTCGACGGCCAGCTACACTTTTGTCGCCGACGTCTTTCCCGAGCACATCGGCCCAGTCATGGGCATCTTGGAGACGTTCGTCGGACTTGGCATGAGTGTCGGGCCAGCGCTTGGCGGCGTTTTGTACTCGGTATGCCCATAATTTATGACAAGAATAACAATTATGTCTCCATTCAACACTCTTTCGAAATAATTTCAAGATGCAGAATTGATAATTTAATTTTTTTTTCATGTTTATTTCTTTTTAAATCTTGTCTGATTATTTTTCAAAAGGAGCTTCTCTATACTGAGAAAAATGTTTACTAAACTGGTTACCATAAGAAAAAAAATATAAATTTCCAAGTTCAGATAACTATTTATTTTATTTTGTCAATTTGATTGGAATAATATGAATTTTTATTAATTTTAATCACAACAATTAGGAGAAAAAGCTACGTAAATTTAGGAAATTAAGTTCTCCTAATAATTTTAATTTGCCTTTTTTCATCTATCCATATCCGTGGAATTGAAATCTGCAGACGCTAATGTAGAGAAAATTATAAAAATTGTTCCAGCCGTTTTATAGGCTTAAATTAAATAAACGTAAATATATTTTTTCGTTTTATTATTTCAGGTTGGCGGTTTTGGACTGCCATTTTACACGCTGGGGGTTGTGATGGTTTTGTTTGTCCCAATAAACATTTACCTTCTTCCTGCAGCCGAAGGTGCGCACTATAAAAATTTCCAACTTAATTCTCTTGACATATTTTTGAACAGCAAATAGTGTGCGGCCAAAAGCAGGCTCGATTTTGGAGGTTTTGCGAGTGCCTTCGGTGATTGTGATAGGACTGGTTGTGATCGTGTCGGCGGCCAACTGGGGGTTCCTTGACCCCACCCTTGAGCCCCACTTGAGACAGGTTTCTGATTTTAATAAAATTTATCAATTATAAATAACAAATATAATTTCAGTACAATCTGACGCCGCAGCAGGTGGGTCTGGTTTTCCTGCTCTCTTCGGGGGTCTACGCCGCGGCGAGCCCGCTCTGGGGACTTTTGGCCACCAGAATCGGATCGCACTGGCTCATGATGTGCTTCGGATTAGTTCTTTGCACCATCGGCCTGCTCACGGTCGGGCCTTCCCCTTTGCTGCCTTTTCTTCCGAGGTGAGACAATTTTAAATTGCTTATAATTAGACTGAAAAGAGGGTGTCTTGAAAAAATCATCTGATCATCATTTCTCAACACTCGGCTGATGTGGTGAAATTTCTAAACACTTAATTGGCTGATGTGGTGAAATTTGATGCCAAACATGAATGACCTTCGAGAAGAGAATTTTTTTTTATATATTTGAAGAATAAATCATCATTTTTTACTACACGTAGATCACACTTTGGTAAAATTAAAATTAAATTCAATTCCTGAATGCGTTTGAAAGATGTCAAAATTTCATGCCAAGGATATATTTGCGATCAAAAAATTCGCACCGCCCTAAGCTTAAAAACCAGGGGTTGATCGGAGCAGATTCACCTTTTCCCACCAAGATATTTGATCCTCAAGAGAAGTCAGTCCTGATTGGATAATCACTAAATTAAGTTGAAACTTCTTGTTTTGAACAACAGACTTGGTCTTTTTCACATAAAGGAATAAACGCAATTAATTAAATTAATGATGTGATTTTGTGCAGTTCTCTGTGGGTGACCCTGGTTTCGCTGGCCATCCTGGGGGTGGCGGCGGCGCTGACGCTGCTGCCGACGTACCAGGCCGTGCTGGACGCGGCCGTGGCCGGCGGCTGCTCGGACGACCTGCCCACGTACAGCATCGTGGCCGGCGTGTGGTCGGGCATGTACTCGCTGGGGGAGGTCATCGGCCCCTCGGTGGGGGGCCTCGTGCTTGAGTGGTACGGCTTCCCCACGTGCGCCACCCTGATGGCCGGCGTGACCTTGGGCCTCGCCTTCCTCGTGCTCGCCTTCTTCTCCGTGCACGGACAGCCCGTCCGGCCGGACAAGAAGCAGGACGACGACGAGGACGATGAAGGGGAGGAGGGGGAGGAGGAGAGTGACGAGCCAGAGGAGCCGCTGCTGGCCGAGCGACTGTCCCGCCACGTGGCGCCGGCGCACAACAACTATGGCAGTCTCGATACCAACGGCCGCAGTGTGTCCGGAATGCTGAAGACGGTGTCGTTGACTGCGACAGGTGCCGTGGAGGTGTGATGCCGACCCTCGAGTTCCAACGGTGCATCGAACAATCCGTTCATCAGGCAGTTTTATTTTGCCAGGATTTTTGTTCTGTACGTTTTCGTTCACCTGATCGATTGCGTGAGGAACTGGACGCATTACTGACATCATTTTCAGAGACTGGACTTGCTAAAGTGCGAAAATATTTACAAAGTGATAATCGAACGACTTAAGAATGATTTTTCTTGCTTGCATCTTGATTTTCGGAGCAACAAAATTGTATAATACGAAATATACGCGATCCTGAAATTTTTCTTTTCTGATCCCTCAAAATTTGGTGTTTTTACGGATTTTGTTTGACAATGTCCTTAAAAAACTTGACTTGCTACAGTGGATTATAAATTATTCTGATAATCAGAGCTGATTTAACAATTTTGAAAATATTTTGATTTTTTTACAACAAACATCAGAGTCTTTTAATGAAAAGGGCATTTAAAAAAAAATAATGTTGAGCAAGTTGTGGATATTTACAATCTTAATTAAAACTACATTGAAAGATAAAGATTTTCCGTGCAAAATCAAAGTTCACTAGATAAACGCCTATTTGTTCACACCAAACAGTGGAGCAAAAAGGAATTATTTTCATACTAAATAATTTAACTTTGGCATCAGATTTGTTTTAATATTTTAATCCATTGTTTCAATGCCAAGTTTTTCTCAGGATCCCATTAAAGAAAAATCACCAAAATATGTACCCCATATTATAAAAACATTATTTTTTGCAATGTAAAATTGTACCTTGTGATATATTTTTTAGTATATATATCATTTTGAATAAAGACCAAGTTAAATGGGCTTAATTTTCCACTTTACATCAGTTGTGCAGAGCTTTTTTTAAAAGCGGATGGCTTTGAATGGTATTATAGGTGAGAGCATTGATATGATTGAGAACTCTCTTCAATTTTCTGATAAATGTGCAATTTTCACAAATGAAATTATACCGCCTTTACAACAAGTTTTGAACTGTATCTTGAGATTAACGATGAAAAAAGTATGCACAAAATTAGGGTAGATCAGGGTAGGTGTTCAAAATCTTTATCCTAAAAATAAATAAAACTTTTTAGAAGATGAAAATGTTCAATACATTCTTTCAAATTTTCCACAGCTTTTTCCACAGTTTCGTTCAAAAGTTGGATCCAACAGTTTGATCAAAGTTTGATCCAACAGTTTGATCAAAGTTTGATCCAACAGTTTGATCAAAGTTGGATCCAACAGTTTGATCAAAGTTGGATCCAACAGTAGGATCAAAGTTTGATCCAACAGTTTGATCAAAGTTTGATCCAACAGTTTGATCAAAGTTGGATCCAACAGTTTGATCAAAGTTGGATCCAACAGTTTGATCAAAGTTGGATCCAACAGTAGAGGATCAAAGTTTGATCAAACAGTTTGATCAAAGTTGGATCCAACAGTTGGATCAAAGTTGGATCCAACAGTTTGATCAAAGTTTGATCCAACAGTTTGATCAAAGTTGGATCCAACAGTTTGATCAAAGTTGGATCCAACAGTTGGATCAAAGTTTGATCCAACAGTTTGATCAAAGTTTGATCCAACAGTTTGATCAAAGTTGGATCCAACAGTTTGATCAAAGTTGGATCCAACAGTTTGATCAAAGTTGGATCCAACAGTTTGATCAAAGTTGGATCCAACAGTAGGATCAAAGTTTGATCCAACAGTTTGATCAAAGTTGGAAAATAATGTCTTCGCCCAACCCTAATTTCAAACTCTCGAGAGCATGGCATTTCGCTCAGCAAGCTTCCCTAGGGCGCTGAATAGCTATTCAGCGTCGCCACCTTCTCAGAAAAAATGATTAAAAACTTTGAAAGGAAAAGTAAAATTTATGATGATTTTCAGATTTGATTAACAGCGTTTTGCTCAATAACCAATTATTTGGACGATCATCATTTTTGAGCGGCTTCGGACTAAACAGTGTTTTTCCTTATGACTTTGAATAAAGAAGACCGAGCTGGATGGGCTTTATTTTCCAATCACTTTATATAATTTTGGGGTGAGTTTACTTTTATGGAATATTAATGTGATTGAAAAAACTTGTATCAATTTTTCTGATAAATTGGCAATTTTTATAAATAAGATCATCCCACCTTAACGAAAAGTTCTAAATTGTATCTACTTAGTGAAATTAAATTTGAAATAATATGCAAGAAATTAAGATAGGTGATCAAAATCTATATCCAAATAAAAAAATAAATGCAACTTATTAGAACATAAAACTCAATTGGCTTTAAGACTTTAATAGGTTTCTTTACTTGACTCAAGTAAATCAAATTCGCATTATACATTTATCACATAACACAGAGATGGTTGAATTAATTTTTTTGGGAAATATTTTGAACTTTCGAACCTAATTGAAAGCTGTGCCAACTATTCTATTCACACGCATTTGCACAATATTCACTCAATCAATTCCCTCCATTTCGGAAAAGAACATTTTGCTAGTCGAAATAAATTATTGAACAGAGCAAGTGTTAAAAAACATCGGGGAAAGCCCTGGTATCTTTGGATTACAACTCGGTGTGTGCGTAACTATGAGATTTTACTTGGAAATCACTCGGGTGGATGAAAAGTCCCTCGGCTGCCTGCCAATGACTGCTTGAGGGCGACGTCACCCCAACCACCTCCAACTGACCATTGATTGGACGCCCGTAACTTCGTCCCGTGACCGAAAGGTAGCTGTTTTCAAAGAGACATTCTTTGATTTAATTAAATAGAAATAAAATATTAAAACCTACACGTCAGTGTCCATGTGCTTGAGCATTATCGAGTCATCCCGAAGCCAACTGTCGCCTTTGCAAATCACAGTCCAGTGATCGCCAGTGTCTCCTTCACCGGCTAGAGAGAGAGAAGCGTCAAAGCAAAATGCAAAAATGGCTTATATTTTCCTTACAATTGTCTCCGTAAGCAGATATTTCTTGGTTAGAGGAGAGTGGCGATGGAAAGTGATGTGAGTGGAGATTCTTCTTGGTTGACACATGTTCCAAGCGAATCACTGATCCGCAACCAATGGGCTCTCTGGCAGATTTAAGAAATTCGAAATGACACAATGCTAAAAATTAAAATAATTTTTATACCCTCTCGAGCAGATCTTTCCGGTGGCGGCTTTAATGACCCAGTGGGAGTTGACATCTTCCTGAACTTCAGTTCCTGTGACAGATTGCTGTCCACTTCCCGATCCATATTTCACATCGTGAGAATGTAATCGAACCTGGGAGTTTTCCAATTTTAATAAAATTAAGAAGATAAATCAAAATAAGGTTAATGTACTTTATAGTCCGTGTTGAAAAGCTTAATCACCGAGCCACATGTCACAAACTGCGTCTTCTTTCCTGAAAAAAAAAATTAAAAATTAGGGGAGTATTTCCTTGGTGCTAAAATAATCAAAATTTCTGTTCCTTTCGTGCAGAAATTGAGTAATTTTTTCGCTTCAAAAAAAGAAATTAATCTATTTTATCCATCTGTCACTACTGCACCTTCAATTTGACTAAGAAGCAACAGGAAATTGATGAAAATTGGGAAAATCGTAGACGTGCACGTCATCTTTGCTCCACTGTTTTGATCAATTTCAGAGAAAAGTCACAAACCGGCCACGCCGAATGCCGTGATTGGCGGAATCGAAATTCGCCAACCAATCACAGCGCTCAATTCCAATCTGTGCCGCCAAGTTCAAAAATGCAGCCACGTGACTTTAAAGAAAGTGTCAACATTGGCACTTCTTTGTATTTTTTGGAGTTCTTAAGACCGGTCGGACATGCCCGTGTCCTGCACGACTCAGTGCGGACGCAGGGCCATCCTGCGGCGACCGAAGACCGGCACCGCCCTGTGCAAGGAGTGTTTTTTCGAAGCGTTCGAAACGGAGGTGCACCACACCATCACCAGCGGCAACCTCTTCCAGCCTGAGCAGGTGGTGGCCATCGCGGCGTCCGGCGGCAAGGACTCGACCGTGCTCGCCTACATCATGAAGCACCTGAACGACAAGTACGATTACAAGCTCAACTTGATGCTGCTGTCCATCGACGAGGGCATCACAGGGTATCGGGACGACAGCCTGGACACCGTCAAGCAGAACAAGGAGGATTACCAGCTGCCCTTGAAAATCCTCTCCTATCAGGTTTGATAATTAATCTGGTTAATTTTGGATTAAAATTAATTAATTTGCAGGACCTTTACGGCTGGACGATGGACAAAATCGTGGAGGAGGTGGGGAAAAAGAACAACTGCACGTTTTGCGGCGTCTTCCGCAGACAGGCCCTGGAGAGAGGCGCCGTCATGATGGGCGCCTCCTGCATCGCCACCGGACACAACGCAGACGACATTGCGGAAACGGTGCTCATGAACATCATGAGAGGCGACATCGCGCGGCTCGGGCGGTGTTGCTCGTCCGTGACCTCTTCGGACGGCGCCCTGCCAAGGGTCAAGCCGCTCAAGTTTTGCTACGAGAAGGAAATCGTCATGTACGCCTATTTCCGCAAGCTCGTTTATTTTTCCACCGAGTGCGTTTTTGCGCCGAACGCGTACAGAGGTCACGCACGGACGTTCCTGAAGGACCTCGAAAGAATTCGACCGTCGGTGATCATGGACATTATCCACTCGGGCGAGAATCTGATGTTTCAGTCAGGCGTGAAAACGCCACAACAAAGCACCTGCGTCCGGTGTGGACACGTCTCCAGCCAGGAGTTGTGCCAGGCGTGCACTTTGCTCACTTGTCTCAATGAAGGCAGAGCCAAGCACGGGGTCAGCAAAAAATCTCACAAAATCAAAACTCTCCGTGAGCCTGTTTAATCTAATTTAAAAAAAAATTTTAAACAGTGGTTTTTTTCCTGTCTTTATCCAAACAAATTAAAATTAAATATTATTTTCTTCAAACAAGATGGATACATTTCATTGAATTTTTTTATTTAGATTGATAATTTTCAACATAATAAATTGCTGCTAATTTCCTTAGCTCTTCAGCTGCTGCAGTGCAAATGGAACTGTAAAAAATGTAAATCAATTTAGTTCAAGTCTTGGAAATGCAAATTAAAATATTGTTTACCTGCTCGGATGGCTCCTATTATAAAACCAAAAGTTATGAGGTTCGTAATCATGGCATTTATTGCCTCCTTATTTTCGTCTCTTGTTGTTTTTCCCTCAATCGCCTGAGTCTTCGTTGGAGCTCCGAACATTTTCTGAAATTCAATCAATCTTATAATTTTCCATTCAGAGAGTGAAGTAATAAAAGCGGAACTCACGTAATATAGTGAATAATGTCCCTTGTATGGAAAAGTCACTCTTTCCTTAGCTGTACAAGTCAAACAATGATGCTCCTAGTATCAAAAATCAATTATGAGCGGGTATCAGAAGTACGGGGATTGGCCGAGGCGCCATTGGAGACTTCAAAATTTACAGCAGTGCAATGGCGCCTGCACATATCCTTTATTTGAATATTTCTCACCCATCCCCTTTCATTCAAGAAGTCTTGCAAGAAGTCTTTCATTGATTAATTATGTATAATAATTGCATCATTTAAATTAAAAACATTTTGATCAAGTTTGTCAAATTTTTAACTTATGGACCACTATTTTTTTAAACAAGTTTAACCGTTTAATTTTGAAGCCATATTTTTCAAATGAATTGCTTATGACCGAAAAAGAATTCCTGAGATCAACTATAGGATATGCTCCACTCCATAGTCTCCTCTACTTATACATTTTTTTGTGTGCAATGATTTGATTTTATGTATCAATTGTGCATTTTTCTTATATCATTAGTTGGTTTTCATTATTTAACAAGGAAACAATACTTGAAAATCAGTTTTATACTCAAAAACCGTGGACATCTTTTATTGCTCTGCAGGGGTTAATAGAACACAACTGAAATGTATTGTGTAGAAATTATATAAAAGATGTGATGGTACGTCAATCGATGCGTTTCCACAATATAGAGTTGCTTTTTCGCTTACAAATAAATTAAAATTTAAATATAAATTCGTTTAAAACAAAAATAAAACTGATTGTTGCTGACACGCGCGTCGTCTGTCTTGCGGCGAGCACCGGCCGATAATAAAAATATACAAACGACTCGTCGGTTTGTTGCCTCTGAAATTCTTGTTTGCGGTGGGCGCCACCTAAGTAGTTATGTCTCTTTGTACGTACACAGAGTGGTCTGTTTAAAAGCAGGAGTATTAAAGAGCGGTGCCGCGGAGGAGCACTTGATGGGTCCAAGTGGCGCTGTCGGCTCGTCGTCGTCGGATATCACATTGAAACACTTCCACTGAACGCGGCAAGTCCTTGAGGGGGTGTTGGGCCGGCCTCCACATCAGAGGATGGCCGACGAGGTGCTCGGTGGGTTGCCGATGGGCGCAGGGAACGGACCCTCTGTCCAGTTTATCAGACTGTGCTCAGCCATCTGCGACGACTGGAAGTGGTCCTTGAGCAGCATCTGCGAGAAGTTGCAGTGCATCTGGTACGCCTCGTTCTCCCGCGGGTGGTCTGCGCACATTCGGTACAAGTCTGCAAAAATTAAGCATTTTTATTTACTCAAATCAAGTTTGGATAGACTTCAGTGAGACGATTCCAACAACGTGCAGGAAGGATATTGTTGGTTAAAAAATTTCAGAAACCAAGATTCAAAAGTTTTTAAACATTCAGATTCAAGCAAATTTCTATCAAAAAATATTTTCCTGCACATTTTATGAATTATCTCCTTCAAGATAACCAGATTTTGAATTAATTACACCAAATTAATTTTCAAACTATCTTGACCTTTAAGAATGGCTGAGGCCCAGAGTTGGACGTGGACATCGGGAATTTTAGAGGCAAGTTGCATGGCGGGCGTGACCATGTTCATACTCTCTCTGCTGTTGCCGAGTGAGAGGAAAATGTGTCCCAGCAGGACGAGAGAGCACGAAGTCAGTCTGTTGAGGTCCTCAGCGTTTGCCATTTTTAAAGTCTCCCGCAAAAAGCGTCTGAAATTATCATTGGTTAGATTTTTGATTGGATTCAGAACCGAATGTGTTACTTGGCCTCGTTGTAGCGCGCCTGGAAGAAGGACTGCAGGCCCTGCACGTAGTAAGCTGCCGCGCGAATGCTGTGCGAGTTTGAGGTGATGGTTTCTGGGTCGATGCGTTCGAGAAGCGCCGTGAACTCGGTTTCTCTTTTCGATCGCAGGTAAACAATGGCTAGGTTGAGGTTGGCAAAGTTCCACAACTCCCGTTCGGACGAGGTCTGCAAATGTTTCAAATTCTTTTCATTTAAAAAGAAAAAATCTTTCACACCTTTTGAAAATTGCCATTTCAAAGTAGGTGCGGAGAGAGAAAATACACACCCGAAGCGCCGCCGAGAATTGGGCCTCCGCCGACTCCATGCAGTTCATGCTCATGGCGTAGAGGCCGAGCAGGGTGTGCAGCTGCGGCCGGTGGGTCATCAGCAGCCGAGGGTGGTTTTGGCACAGAACACATGCCTGCGAGATTTCCTGCAGCGCCAGGCACTTGTTGCCCATCACCAACCGACACATGATGATGTGCTCCAAGAGCATTAGGTGGAAAACGGACAGGATCGGCTTGTTGTCCACAACTAAAATTATTCAAAGTGATTAGCCTTTCATTTATTAAAAAATTCAATTGAATTTCTAAAAACTTTGAGGATTGGTATAGTCAATTTTGGCAATCATTGGAAATTTCAACGAGTCTTGAATCTCTTTTAAACAAAAAAATGAGACACACTTTTGAGCTTCTCTATTTGGGTGAAGGCTTTGTCGGTGTACTTCTGCGCCTTGTCCATGTAGCCGCCTTGCATGCTGTGCATCACAGTGACCAGGTACACCAACACATACAGATGCTCTTTCGGCATCCAGATGAACATATCTCCAGGACTAGTTGAGGTCAGGACTGGAATCAAACACTTGTTCGTCAAGCGTGAAATTGGGATATATTTTGTCGCCCACCTTCGTCTGAGGGCCACGAGGGCTGCATAATGATTTGGATGCTCTGTTGAAGCTGCTTAAGCCAGGGCTTGACGCTTTTGACTTGGCCCGCCAAAAGGTAATGACACACCTGCAGCACCAGGAAAAATACCTTGAGATACTCCTTTTGGTGTTGAGAGCCGGTCCAGCTGTCGACGAGGTGACCGGCCTGCGCCAGCAACTGGTTCACGTCTTGGAATTTCTTATCAATAAGCAGGAGCTGCAGAAATTTTACATTTAATTGAATTAACTTTGATTATGATGTTTGCGTACCATGCATCTGCTGAGGAGGAATAAAACTCTGGTGTAGTTGGCCTGCGAGATGTGCGCGTAGTCGACTCCGACCCCGAGCAAACTGCTCGCCAACTCGTAGTCGCGCTCGCTCGCGTGAATTTGCTGCGAAACGGACAGAGACGTGAATTAATTAAGATGTTTTTTCGTTGAAGTTGTTAATGGTCTAAGGGGGCGTGGCTTACAGAGAGCTGGAAGATTAGGCGGCAGTGCCAGTAGACGCTGTTCTGCGAGATCTCGATGGCCTTCCGCAGGATGGGCTTGGCCGCGTTGGGGTTCTTCTGTTGTTCGTGCAGCTCGGCCAACACCGAGGCCGCCTCGAACTTGACATCGTCGAAGCCGTTGATGGTCTGAGACAACAACCACTGCAAAAAAAGGGGTTTTACTATTTTTTGACGGCAGCAGAATTTCTCGGAAGGGTCGGGGCGGAAGGGAGAGAAGTCGGCCGGGTGCGGAGGGGCCTTCGGGAGGGTCAGGGTCGCTCAGGGAGACTGACCGCCTTCTCGAGGTGGTTGCGGGCCAGGTCGATGTTCTTGGTGTGCGTGAGCAGGATGTTGCCGAGCTGGAGGTGCGTGCGGGCCTCGACCCTCTGCGGCGGCTTGAAGTTGAACACCGCCTGAAGGCACTGAATGCACAACTTGAAGTTGGGCGGACTCGACGTGCGAAAATTCTCCGCTAACCCCAGCAGAGAAAGATACCAAGCGTCCTGCGACGACGCCATTTTGACATTTCTCTCCCGTTCATATGTTGCCCGTGACGTCAGAGAACAACAACGGCCCCCACCGGTGGCATCATTGCGCGACGCCACTGCAAATTTCCGTTGGCAGCCCTGCTTCTCCATGATTCGATCTGAAACAGAGGGAAAAACACGTGCAATTATTACTGTATATATATATATATGTTGACCCAACAAATCGAGAATAAAATGAATTTAATACCATAACAGCTGGAAACTTTTGTTCAAAAGATTAATCAACACGATAGAAAAATAAATATTATTATTTCTAATTTAAAGTAGTTTATTTCGTTTATTTCATTGGAATGAAAAATCTAGCAAGTAATTTTAAATCACGGAAATTAAATTAAAAATTGTAAAAATTAGCAGAACCAATCATTTTATTTAAAATATTAATGCCTCGGAAGATAAAAGAATTTATTAAAATCATTTCATTTACTTCTCCATTAAATAAAAAAAATGGAACAGTTATTGAAAATTTAGAAATGAAATAAGGAAAATTAAAGTTTATTTGGGTGATATATTTGCCACATCAGAAGATGAAATATATGAAGATCAATATTATATATTATTATATAGCTATATATGATCATAACCTTCAAAAAACTCTACTTATGTCCATATTCATTTTTAATAAATTATTTTTTCAAATATTTTATGAAATTCTTAAAAAGTATGTATTATAATTTTAAATCAAACGACTGGTTGGCTTTTGCTAAAACTGCATTTTATTTCATGCATTCCAAGCATCAAAGTTATTACCTAATTAAATATGAATGTGGGGCATTTTCTCTGCAGATGCTTCACCGTCTCTCGTTCAATATTGAGAGATTTCCACTTTTGTGAAGTCGCTTTTAATTGCTGCTGAAAGCGACGAGAGTTGCATCTCAATTGTACTGTGGAGGCTGCGTTTTATTTGTTCGCGTCTAACCTCCTTTCTTTCGTCTACACAAATACGTACCGGCCTGTGTTGTAGCTTTTGCAATTTTCGAACTGGTTTACGCGAGCGACAAATATGCAAATGAGTTGTTGGAGCAGGAAACGATTTGCGCGACCAAGGATGAAAACTGCGCTCGCACGGGGTCGAATCGGCGAAAATCGACACCAAACGTGACAAAAAAAATATATACATAAGATCGGCGTGTTGACAATCTCTGTCCTTTTCGCTCGTCGCCGCTTTCTTTCCCGTGACACTCAAGGAAAACTGCTCCACTGGTTGACGGAGCGAACGGACCGATTATTGGTCTCGCCAGCATTTATAATTCCTTCAGAGTAGTGAGAATAACTATAACGAGAGAGTGCAATCGTCGCTTGCTCAAACAAGCTCATAACGCATTCTGCTGTCGAAACCAACACACTCTCGCCAATATTAAAACTGTGCGACTAACGCAATTTTTTTATATTTTTATAAAAGGTGCGTCGATTTTACCGGATTTTGCTCTACGGAATTATTGCATCTCCTCAATTTGTAAGGAAAATTTTTTTATTTTTAGTATTATTTCTATTATTATTGCTAAATTTAATTTTTCCAGATTGAATCCAAAATAGCATGGAGAAAATTTCGGCAGTCTTTATTTTTGCTCTTTTGATCATGAATTGTTGGCAAATTGAAGCAGCCACAAACAGGACTTTGGCCTTCAAATCTTCCTCCTCACTTTCAAAATTTGTGGCCGCCTTGTCAAAACCTGGGGCTTTTGCAAAAGAAGTTGTTTTCCTTTAAATTGTTATTTATTTTCTTATTATTCATATTTTTTTAAGGTTAAATTGCTCTTGGGTGACGAACTGATGCAGGAAAAGTCAAATTGTCCTAGTGGAGAGGAAGGACTCGAGTGCCGCCGCCAAGAAGCGCGAAATGGAGCAGATACGTGTCTCAACTCTGGTTAGTTTTAATTTTCTTACAATTTGATTAAAAATTCAAAATACTTTTTTTGTACCAAGAACGAACAATTTTTTAAATTGACATTGTAAAGTAAAATAGATCAGCATTTTTTTTTTAAATTATAGCCATGTTATATCAAGAAACTAGATTAACTATAAATTATATTTTGTTCTTTAAACGAGGCGGTTATTCAATTAAATTACTTAATTTTGAAGGCGGAGACTGCAGCGAGTGTGAAAAGTGCAATGAGCTGAGTGCGACCGAGTGGCTCTCATGCTGCGAGACGCATTTCCGGTGCTGCGGCGACGTTGCCCTGGCGTGCCAAAAGTGCGACCAACCGCAACTGCTGCCCTTCTGCATGAAGCGCTTCAAGAAATGCTTCCATTGAGTGAAATTTCATCTCTTGTATTTATTGTGTTAATATTGAAATGATAGCAAAGACGGCTTAAAAATTAAGTTTTCTTTGAAAAATATATAAAATATGTGCCAGAATAAAATGTAGCTTTACTTCAGGGTTTAAATTTGTCAATTTTTTTTTTCAGAAGTGGATCAAGTAAAATAAGTGAAATCGCCATTTGCGTATAAATAAAAGAATTCACAGTACTTTATTTTAAGAAATCTACAATCAGTTTCCTTCCCTACGATTTATACATGATGCGTGAGACAAAGAGATTTCAAATCTTACCAAGTACAATTATACACCCTAGTGGATTCGCAACTGTGACACGAGCGACACACCTCGCGTCGAAAACCACCAAAGCACTCCAAAGTGTTCCTTTTTTTATTTTAGTAATGCGCAAACGACTCGTTTATACAGTTGGCTGAAAAATGATCTGGTGACGTGCGTCTGAACGCAAAATAAATTAAACAAAAATACAAAAGTGGTGCCGTTGCAAGGAAAAATAAATATCAAGTTGACTGAACTATTTGCTGAACAAGAGCGGGAACAATTGGGGTTCAAAATCATCATAGAAAAGAGTATCACAATCAGAGCCCAACCCAACGAGTCGCAAGTCGTGAAAACCAGAGTGCTGAGAAGGAAGAGGGTAGATGAGAAAACCACTAGCAAAAACGTTTTTGCAAAAATTGTACACAATCACGCAGACAGATTTTGAGCCGGTGGGCACCTCCTCGAATTCGGCCACCGAAATCCATTCGGGAGGAAAATCTTGATAGAAAATTTGAACATATTTGATGTGGATTTGCAACACTTCATTAATTATTTCAACAAATATTAAAATGAGTTTCAATGAAGTGTAAATTATATTCAGGCATTTTTCTCTTCGAACAAATTCCGTCGGCCGCGGCTTCACGTGAGGTTCTGGGGTGGAAAGTCGGATTGGTCGGTCTGCAGCAGACTCGGTGGAAACGGGGGCGAGGGTGCAGATCACGTCTTCCAGTTCATGCCCCCGCGGCCCTGCTGCATCGAGTTGGAGGGGATCATGTCGAGCAGGTACTGCCGCTGCAGATCGGCCGCCTGCCGCTGCAGCTCCACCAGGTTGGCCGCGGCGGCGGCCACGGGGCCCTTGCCGCCGGCCGCCTGCGCCATGGCCAGTTGGTAGGGGTAGAGCAGGGGCGAAAAGGGCATCATGTGCGCCGGCAGGGGTGCCTGGTGCTGGGGCAGCCGCATCAGTTGCTGGTGGGCAGCCTGCAAGGCGGCCGCCGGGTTCGAGGCGGCCGCGGCCAGCGCGGCCGCAAACTTGGACGGGTCCGCAAACTTTGGGAACTGGGCGGCCGCGGCGGCCAGGGCCTGCTCGGCCCGTTCTCGTTCGCGGTCCGCCCGGGTGGGGGGCGTGGCCGCCTGTTGCTGGCGGGGCTGTGGGGCCGGAGGGGCCGCCGAGGGGGTGGGGGGCGTCGGCGCGTGGCTGAGTGGCGTGGGGGGCTTGGGCGAGGGGGCGGCCGGCGCCGGGGACTCGGCCCCCTGGGCCATGCGCTGCTCGATCTCCTGCTCCTGCTGCAGGGCCTTGACGAATGCCGTCTTGAGCCGGTTCGTGTGCTCGGCCTTGAGGGCCTTCTTCACGTTGGTGGTGACGCACTGCTCGCAGATGACCCGCAGCTCCTTGCCCGAGGTCTGGTGACCCATGGTCAGCTGCTGGCGCCGCTTGTGGTCGCTCTTTGAACTCTTCTCCCACTTCCACACCGGAGTGAAGTCGGTCTCGCACTGTGAGCACTGGAATGGGTCTGGAGGCGGCGGCGCTTTTTGGTCCCGGGTGATGTAGTCGACCACGTGCTCCAGACCCAGCAGGTAAATGAACTCTGCGTTCGACGGGTTTGGGATGAAGTGCATCTCCGGTGGAGGGGGCTTGGGAGGTGGAATCTGCGAGTTAAATAAAAAATTAGCATTAGAAAAAAAAAATTGTTTATGAAACTTTAAATTTTGCCGTGAAATTACAAACTTACTTCTGCCATGTAAAATTTCATTCGGTTCTGACCAATAATTATTTAAAATTCATACTTCTGATCTATAAAAAAGATAAGCAATTTATGTACCTGTAGAAGAGTTTTCTCGAGCTGTTTGCGCAGCGCCAACTTAGCTGCTGCCTGCCTTTGTGCTGGTGTTTGGTTATCCTCCTGCCGACTTCGCTCCTGAGGGACAAATTTTAACATGAGAAACAGAAGAATTTAATTTTAAATATAAGTTAACTAACAAAGTAGAACTTAAATATAAAACCAAAAGTGTTCAGCTATAAATTTTACCTGTTCTAGGGGCATTTGTTGCATGGGCGTACCCATGTTGCCCATTTTTGGGTCCACATTTCCCATAAGCTTTGATAGCAGCAAGAGAAAGAGTGAATTTGTTAGTAAAGAAAGAGAGTGGACAATTCCAGTTTGTTCATTGAAGAAAAAAAATGAAATTTGAGAAAAGCGAGAAAAATTAAATGATTGGGTTAATTTTAACTTTTACCATTGCTAGAAAGTATTCATTTTCCTAGTACCACAATCTAATTAAGTAAGATTAATGAGCAATGCCCTACCTGCTGGGTAGACGGCGAGTGGTGGGATTCCTTGGGGGCGCGCTCAGCCGCCCCCAAGGGGTATCCCATGACAACATTTGGGGGTGTGTTGACAGGGGCTCTGCCCCCGACCAGATTAGTGCCCCCTCTGAGAAGGGACTGCTGAGCCATGAGCAGATTCTGCTGCATGGCGGCGGCGTTGTTTCGGCCGCCCATGCCCATGAGGGGAGGCGGCAAGTTCTGCCCCCGACTTTGGCCGCCTTGGTCGTACCGTCCTGAGGACGAACCACCGTACTGCTGAAAAATGAATCAAAAGGAAATTGAAAATTTAAAAATTTTGCAACAAAAATTGAAAACTCACCCCTCTGTGAGCAGGGGGCAGAGCGGCAGGTGCGGGGGTTTGTTTGGAGCTCCGGACCAGCGCCTGGGGCACCTGTTGTTGCGGCGCCTGTTGGGCAGGGGGCGGCAGCTTGGCCGTCAGGGTGACTGAGGGGGTGAGTTTGGTGACAGCAGGGGCTTGCGTTGTGGGCGGCAACACCGCAATGTTTTCCTTCATCTGCTGCGACTGCTTCAATTTCTTCAGCAGAACTAGTTTCATCTCTTCGTTTCGCAGCTCTTCCCGTAATTTGCGAATCAGCCGTTCTTTCTCTGCCAATTCTTCTGTTGAAAGCTCCTAGAAATTAGGTTTTAGAAATGAATTCAAATAACCAAGAGTGAAAATTTTAGATGATTACATTTTGAAATGTTACTTTGTAAAAATTTAAAATTGGTATAGTTATACAAATTTTATTTTTACAAAAGAACTAAATCACCTTTATGGGAGGCAGAGGTGGCATTTCAGCATCGTCGCTGTCACTTTCGTAGCCGTTGACGAATCCGTTGATTCTGGGTTCCTCGTCAGACAGGACGATTATGTCTGGACTTTCGGCATAACTCCTCTCCCTGCGTGGTCGCAGGTTGCGCCTCGGATGGTGCTGCTCTTCATAATCTTTGACTCTCGAGGCCGGCGGCCTCATGGCGGCCGCATCACTGATCTTGCTCAAGTCTTGCACTGCCTCTCCGTTCTCACTTGGTGGTTTTGGTGCAGGATTTCTAAATTCAAATAAAAACTCCATTAAAACACTGATCTTTCGTTGTAATAAAAAATTAATTTCATTCTAGTTTAATTATAAGAAAATATTGAAATAAAAAAATTTTACAACAAAATTTTTTTTATATGAAAAATATATTAATGCAAAAACTGACCCCACACTGAGGTCGACGACCGCCTCTCCGTCTACTTCCATCTTCTCGACGGGCGCCGACATCATCGAAATCTGCTTGGACCGAATCCTGAAGCGCAGTTGTGCTGAAATAAAAATTACCATAAGACCAACCAGGAAGTGCCAGCAGCGCAGTTTGATAAGATAAAGCGAACGGCAGATTTTTTTTATGTAAATGAGGAGAACGGTTTGTAAAAATTAGACCAAATCTCACTCGGAAAAATAAACAATGCAATTTGAATCGATTTGAGGTCGCATAAGAAAGATGGTGCCCGACGGAATTAGGACAAAGCGTAATCTGGTGACGCACTTAACTTAATTGGGCAACGCCAGCCGCAGCGTTAGTGCGAGGGAGGCCATTTTCGGAAACAATAAAATTAATGTGTGCATGTTATCAACAAAGCCGCTGACGACGACATTGCGGCCATTTTTTCGAAAATCAACCAATTTTGCATTTGAAATTAAAATTAGGCCCCGAAGCAAAAAGCCAGGCCCAAAAAGGGTCCAAGCCGAAGGAAATCTCTGCCCTCGAAGGGTCACTCCCCTCGACCTCCGAAGTAAACAAACACCCCCGACCGAAACAAATAACTTTTCGCCGCCAATTTCAGTGACTTAATCTTTCTCAGGGGGCACGAAGACCCCGCGGGCCGCTCATCTCGCGGGTTCGGCGGCCGCGACCTGTTAATTAGCCGCCCACAAGCAATTAGCCGGCGCGCACCTTTCGGCCTTTGAATCTCGTTAGGGGGGTTCTAGGGGGTCGCGGGAGCCCCGCAGGCGTGACCGTCTCGGCGAGACGCGACGATCGAGCCCCCACAAGGGGGGTTTTGGCGCCACCGGCCTGCAAAGCCGGGGTCAATCAAGGCCGTTCCAAATTTGTAAACTCCAGAGTTATCGATTCGAAGCGGCGACGGCGGCGGGTGTTTGGGCCGGGGGCGGTCGCGCCCCCCGGCCGCCCCCGCCGGCCACGCCACCCTTTCGGGGGACAGGAAAACCCCGGGCACACTCACCGCCAGACGAAGCAAGCGCGGCCGAGGTTTAGAGAAAAAATTAACGCCGCCGCATCCACGCAAAAATTAACGACTGATCCAAAATGGCGCGGCCTTGTCTCTTGTTCTCTTCCGACGACTGAGGAGAGTGAAGAGTGAGTCTCGCTCCTACGGGGGCCGCCGTCGCTTCCGCACGGAGTCCCACCCGTCGCGCGACACCTCCGGCCAACTCCTCACCGTGCGGTGTCTGTAAACAAACGCACGTGCTGCGGCCGAGCCAGACTCGACGGCTGCCGCCGCGCTGCTTTGGGGCTCCCGCGGTTCACCAACCCCGCGCCGGGCCCCCAAACATTTTAATATAATTATGCATAAATAATAAATTTATTAAATTTAAATAAGAGGGATTTCGTTTAATTAACCTTAAATTACTTAGATTTGATTTAAATTGGTATTTATATCAAAAAAGTAGGTCTGATGAGAAATCTCCCTCGTCTTACTAAATTCCTTATTTTTAATGTTTATGTGTTTATGGAAGTTGAAAACTTGCACAAATATTCACTTTAATTTTGATATTCAAAAAGATATATGAATGTTTCATCTGGAATAAAAACTTTCATCCCAAGCAAAAAAAAACTAAATTATCTTTTTTTCTGAAAAATTGAAACTGGGTTCCTCGTCGCAAAGAAAAAAACTGACAAATAAAGACAAAACAAGACAAACCTTTGGGGGTTGTACTTTATTTTTTCTTTGTAAGAAAAACAAAGTTCGCCCGGCTTCAAATGATCATGGCATAAAAATATAATTGTTTTAAATTAGTACTGTGACTAATCGCCTTAAAACAATTTAAAACAATACGGACAGATTGGGGTGGTTTTAAAGAATTTTACTTTGGGAAATTTTCGCCCTCAATTAAAATTGTTTATTATCACAACAGGAATTTTCCAACTTTTTTTTACACCGGCCATGTCTCAAATATCTCGTCGTCTCGGAACGTAATTCCACGTCAAGGCAATTAGTCACAGTACTAATTTAATTATTTCCCGTTATGAGTGGTTTCTTTTGGTTTTAAATTCTCAAAAAATATAATTCTTTTGTTTTATTAAAAAGAAATATAAATAAAAAAAAATCAGCAAAATAGAAAAACCGCTCTTGAAATATTTTAAAATCTTATTCCAAAGTAAAAAAATTCATAAAACCTACAATAGGTTGGTATATGAATTATTTTAGTTTTAAGATATTAAAACTTTTTTTGTTTAAAAAGTCAATATTGCTGATTTTGTGTATTTTTCGTGAATAAAGGCTTGCAGATCGAGACTTAAACTGGTAGCATCGTTTTTTTTTCTTAACAAAAAACTATTTTTTTCCAAAACAAGGACAACCTGTTTTTCTTCACTTCTCTTATGGTTCATCTGGAATTAAAAATTTGCCCAGTCTAAAAACTAAATTATTTTCTTTTTCATTAGCAAATTCCTTTTCCATCAAAGGTACATTGGAATTAATAAAATGCTCACCTTCATTTCATGTATCGTTGAGAACAATTTTATTTCGCATAATAATAATAATATAATAATACATTTTGTGTTTACTCCCATAGGATCCGAAAACTGAAAAACAGATTCTTTTTCTGTATTATATCATCACTTACAGTTTTACAATACTTTTTTTCTTTTGCAGGAGTTTTTCGATATGAAAACTTTAATTTTTTTTTTCAACACTAATACTACAACTTTTAACGTATAATTTGCAACCAAATAATAATTTGGTCTCAATCCCAAAACAGCGCCTGATCTTTCCCGCAGACAAGGGCGGGTAAAAATCTTTTCTAGAAATACACTTTCTCATACATATTTATTTGATAATAACTGCTTTCATGATTCTTTTAGATCTGTGACTACTGATTTCTCAGCTAGGTTTTCTTATTTCTCAGCTACATTATTTTCATTTTTATGATAATTTTTTTTTATAATATATCGGTATTTTATATTTCTATGCACGCCTAGCACATTGTAAATTCTGTTATTTCCGTTGAAATTTGGTAGAGGTTTCTGAGTTGAAAGATGGATGCATCTTTTTTTTATTGATTTTGTTTTCCAGCTTTAGTTTGTTAGAATGTGACGCTTTTCAGAGATTTTCAATCTAGCCGTACATTTGTTTAAATTACATTAAAATCCCCTCTCAATGTGAAACAATCCAAAGATAACTAAGGTATATCTTTATAATATATTCTGAGGTACTGCCAGAATGATTTTTCATTAAAATACGCCGTCTCTCATATCAACATATTTCACCTTTCCGGTGGTCACAAAATTTAAACTCTATAAAATCATCAATGTCATGCAGAATTTTGCTCGCAATCTTTCTAGCTAATTTATATAAATACTCATGTTTTTGTATCTTTTCGAGATTTTCAAAAATTGGCTCCGATTAAAAAATAGTCGATTTTTTCGCAATCAAGAAATCATAACAAACGTTTTTGGTCTTATCACACTTTTGCATTTTGTGTCAAGGGACTATATTCAACTATATATTTTCCTGCTGTTCGAATCCATCTCACGCGCGCAAAAGTAAAATCTCAGTCGGGGTTTTTCACTCTCGCTCCTCTTCAGTCGGCGCAATTACACGGATCATTATATAATTAGCATTTAAAACAATTAAAACCTAAAAGTGTCGGCGGCTTTTGTTTCGGCTCGGGATCGCCTCCAGTCTTAATGTGTGTGTGTTATTAAAAGTGGCGATATCACAGAGTGCGGTTGACATAGTAGGTAGATGGAATGTGAGGCTGCGAAGGAAAAGCCTCGGAGACGATCCGGCCGCCGCCGCCGCCGCTCTCATCGTAAAATTAGGCGATCGATTAAAAAACCCATAAACAGTGTAAAATTAGCAGTAACAAAACTGAGACTGGCGATTCGTCGGTCAGTTGTTGTTGTGCATCTTGGCCAGCGCAACAGGAATGAATGGCTCGTTTTCGTTTGGTTTCTTCAGTCCCTCTATAATAATTATATGTTCGCTCTAGTGTTTTTCGATTCCTTCGGTAGGATAGGAACAAGCGCGTGCGTCTCGAAATTTGCCTTCGACGAGACTTATTAAGGTATTCATCACAAGTTTTCTGCTCGAGTTTCTCGTAAAATAGAAAAGATCTGTTTCGATTTGTGCTAAATTCCAGATTTTCACTCAAGCATAAATAACTATTTCTCCCTTTGCAGTATTAAAGGCCTAAAATCACAAAAGTCTCAAATATTGTTTAATTCTGTTTGGTTTGGAAAATATTTGTTGATTTTCAAGATTTTTTTAGAAACACCAAACAGATTAATGAAACAAAACTTGAGCTTTTGCTATTTTCGTGGTCCTTTTTTTAAAACCCGATTTTAGTTTTGCTGCACATTTCAATAAAATAAGTGTGAGCTATTTTTTTTTTTTTTTGTGTAACATGACTGATTTTTTTTCCTCACCTGGAATGTCTGTGAAAACTGGTTGGTTTCCAGCCGGGTTTAGTGTGCGCGCTGGCAACACGGTATTTTTTTTTCCTCATTGACTCTTTCATGTACCGTCTCTCAGCGGCAAGACCAACCCCTCTATTATTTAGCCTAGAGCGCCCTGAATTCGGCAGGTGCAAGGACCGGCGAGCTTTCGTTGTAAACGGATCGATCGGCTCGCTAAGTACCTTTGATTCTTTCAAGTGTGACTAAGTTGGCAAGTCAGGGCGATTTTGTTTGTAGATTATTATTTCGCTCGGTGGTCGCAGTCTCTTTTTCAGCTCTCTCTCGCGTTACAAAACTATAGACTTTTCGCTTTATCTGAGCAGCGAGTGTTAAGTCGTCGTCGGGAGAGCCTCGGATATCACAGCTGATGTTGTTTTTCTTCACAATATTTTGTTAAATATTTTTCGAGAGTTGTTGGCAAATTGCTTAAGCGCGACTAAAATCTCTCCGACCGTTGCTCTCGTTTTGTTAAACTTACTTAAAAGATGCTCTTAGAAAAATAATTTGGCTCGATTCGGTAAAGCGGACTCGCAAATTAACTAACGGCCCGATCGGAAATGGGGATTCTTAGACGGGAGGTTCGAGGTTGTTACTGCACGGAGGCCAAAGCAAACTCGATGGCACTTTCCAGGGTTGGATTGACGAGGGCCGGCGGCAGGTCTTTGGCCGAGAGCGGCGCCCACGTCCGCTGCAGCGAGTCACTCACTTCGTCCATCAGCTGAAAATGGTTCCAAAAATTTATTTAAATTTATCTATACTTCCATAAATTTATTTTTAAAATATATTTTTTCATGTTCGATTTTAATTCTGCCAATCCATATAATAAATAAAAATAAAAATTACTACATAATCTCACTAATGGACTTTTATTTATTGATATTACGGATTTAAAACAATTTTAATTTATATTATTAAAAAATAGTCAAAACCATCCGAATAAGCTAACAAAATTTGATAGAAATAATTTTTTTCTTAATTTTTGGTTACCTTAGCTTTAGCATCCTTTGCAGAGTCAACTGGAATTTCTTCAAAGAAAATGTTGCTCTCAGGAATGTCTAGGCGTTTCAGAAGCGGACCCCTCAATCTAGAGATGGCGATAATGTTGTCGTCCAACTGGTCATAGCCTGCAGAAAAAACATTTCTCTAATTCCGAGATAGATTTATAAATTTTGGTTACCAACCTATGACAACCAGCTCACGCAAGTGGAGGCAGCGCCAGGCGACCATCACTAGAGGATGCGGCTGTCCAAGGGAGAGGTCCAGAGCGTCCAAGGAGGAGTTTTCGTCGGCAATGTCCACCCACCAGAGGCAATTCAATCGGGACGAGAACCAGTCGTACAACAGATGCAGAGCCTCAACATTCAACTACAAAAAGGAGAAAAGAGTTCATTAATTTTACAATAAAATGCATAAAAAAAAACTACTTTTACACGTTAGTTGAGATATAGCAGTATCAGAAAATTTTCATTAAAATTTTTAAAACGGGTGAATAGGGCGATATCACTAACTTTTCATTATAACATGTACGGTCTAAGCTTTGATAACTCGCACACAAGCAGTGTAGGAGAGTCAAGGCATTCAGTTACATTCTTCAGAAGGGCCGTGGCTCAAAAATGATTTTTCCCGAGCACCGTGGCTAAAAATAATTTTATCCGAGTTCCGTGGCTTGAAAATGATTTTTTCCACGTGCCGTATAAATTTTCTTTTATTTAAAATTTTGGTTTCTTTCAACATTGTAACATGCGATTTTAAACATTTATTACCTTACTTTAATCTAAAATTTGCATGCAATTTTTGAAGATTAAAAAAATTGTCTTACTTTCTCACAGAAAAGCACCTTGAGCTGCGCCAGAGGCATCGAAGGTTGCAAGAGACCCGCAGACAAAAAATCCACAGCTTCACTAGAGAACAACAAGCACAGCCGAAGTTCACAGTTTGAGCTGAAAAAAGGGGAAATCAAAGAAAATTCAATTTTTGAAATGGATTCGCAAACTTTTGCTTGCTGAACGCTGTCCAAGTTTGATTGGAAGGCGGCAAATAGTCCTCGTCGATGCCGTGGACGTTTACGGAGAGCACCCTGAGGTCTCTACCCTGACCTGACAGGGTCTGCAGCAGTCGGTCGGTCAGGTAGTCAAAGTCAAGGCTGAGTTCGGTCAGGGCGGTCAACCTGGCGAAGAGACCTGGGTCCAGGTCGAAAATCTCGTAGTCCTGCGGACTGGCCTTGAGGGTGCTGGCGTGCAGACTCTGCAGGTGTTTGCCCTGGAAGAAGCTCAGGAGGCGCACCAGTTCGCTCAGGTACGGCGCCAGGTCTTCCAAGCCGCCCAGGTCGATGGACTCGAGGCGCTTGCTCTTCTCAATTATGCCTCGGAGGGGCTCCATTATTTTTCTGAAATTTTTTTAATAAAATTTAATCCATTTAATTGCTGCAATAATTATTGTTATGGATATGGAGGTCTTTAGAGAAAGTGGCGATTTGCACAATCACGTTTCACCGAGCAGAATTCTTTACTTGGCGAAGAGATATTTTTTTTTTACAAATGATCTCGTGCCCCACATTCCTTTGTAATCAGAACGTGTTGTGGGCATTTTTTGGAAAAATACATAAATTTTGTTTCACACCTGTCGAGGAAGGCAGGGTGCGGGGGCATCTGGAGGAGGCAGTGCGAGGGGCGGAGGAGCAGCGAGCGGAGGTGGCAGTTGTCGGCGAGCAGGAGCAAAAGGTCGGCGAGCGTGTCGGCGGCGCCGGCGTCCGTCGACTCGAACTCGACGACGGCGTGGCGCAATTTGTTGCCCCAACAGCTGGCCAGGAACAAGCTGCGTTCGCAGCTATTCAGGTCGCCCGCGCGCACCCTGAAGGTGACCTTGGAGGGCGCGAACGACTGGTAGAAGACGTGACGCCAGTGTCGGCATGTCGACGACGCCCGCAGTTGGTCCTCGGTGGGCAGCAGCAGGTAGATTTCGTGCAGGACGACGCTCGGCACCCGTTCCCACTGCCCGGCCATTTGTTTGTTGCCCAACTCCGCAGCAGACGTTTCTCGCCTGCTCATCTGTTGTCACTTCTTGCCGCGCGTGACGTCACCGCAGGCGAAAGTGGTGCCGATGCAGCTGGCGACGCTGCTGCCACCGCCGGCCACTCGCGCAGTTAATAATTTGCACCAACTGCAAAAAAAAAGGAATTTCCCTGCCAAATGAATAAAATTTATTCTTCTTGCTAATCTAATCGTGGATAATTTTTAGCAAATGAACAAAATGATTTTAACAGCATAAAATTACTCAAAATTTATTTTCAAAACAATACTTTATCACAAAAATGCACTACTGTAGTTATAAATTAACAATAGTATAATATAAATTATCATAATCATCAGAATTTTCTAAATTCCTTTTCTTCTTCTTAAAGAGTTACACTTTTTTTTCAACAGTCCTCTTCTATCCAAATCTGTAATTGAGCCAAACTCGCTGGAGCATTGGTCTGCACGAGATTGCCACCTTGAGTTTGGCGCACAACAAGAAAACACCAGAGAGTTTCCTGTGGAGCGAGTAAATCTCCTCTGGGGGTGGACAGAGACGGTGCTGCAGCATGGTGGGCACCTGCGTCTGCACCCTCCTTGTCGTATTTTGCAGACCGAAGTTGAAGGGCTCGTCCGACCGGAAGGTCTCGCCTAATATCATGACCGTGTCCACGTGGGCCGTTTCCATCACCTTGGACTCGTATCCGGTGAGGAAGCCCATGGCCTGCGACATCTTGAGGACTCCCTCCCGGTCTCCGTCGGCGGCCGACTTGATCACCTGGATGTACATGTCCATGAAGGCCTTCTCGTACTCCCTCGTGGCGCCAAAGTCCAAAAGTCCCAACTGGAATTTAGATTAAAATCAGCTCATTTTTACCCTGAATTAATTTTACCCGTCCGGACTCAGGATCGTAGAAAAAGTTGGACCAGTTGGGATCAGTCTGCATGTAACGGAACTCAAACAGTTCCTTCAGAGTCAGCTCCATGATCAGCTTGGCAATTCTCTCCCTGGTTGCCAGGTCCATTTCGACACACTGATCAACAGGCACCCCACTGATCAGGGTGCTTGTGAAGACCTGTTTGGTGCTCAGTTCGTCTGGAAATGAGAGAAAAGTTTAGGAATTAAGAAACTTTAGGTGGAGCGGTGAAAAGTACCAACAACTCGAGGTACCATGTAATCAGGGTAAGGGGCCATCAGCTCGTGGAACCTTTTGGTGCACACGGCCTCCCGTTCGTAATCCACCTCCCAGCCAAGCTCCTTTTTGGCAACCTCAACCAGATTGTCAATGAACAAACCTGGGGAAGAATAAATTTGAAAATTTCACTGGTTTTCTTATTTCATTTACCTTCCGGGAAGATGTTCCAGACTTTGAGTAGAGATACGAGGTTGTCAATGTCACTCTCAATGCCCTTGGCGACGCCAGGGTATTGGATTTTCATGGCGACGTCCGTGCCGTCATGCAAAGTGGCCAAATGCACCTGGCCGATGGAGGCGGCCGCAAAAGGTTTCTCCTCGAATGAAGCCACCTTTGAGCGCCAGTCGGAACCAAGTTCAGACGCTAATACTTTCTAAAAGTTTAAAACAAAATCAGCCACTCATTTAATTTGACGTTTATTTTCTAGTTGAAATTTTTACCTCAACCTGCCAGGTTGGCATGAAGTCTGCTGACTGGCGCACCCTTTCGAAGGCCTTCTGCAGCTGCGGGCTGATGATACTGTTGTCCTGGATACTCAAAATTTGCCCAATTTTCAGCGCAGCACCTAAAGAAGAATAAAGACAGAGTTCACAAAAATTTGTATTCATTTTAAAATTCTTTTACTAGCAAAGTACAAAAAAACAAATATTTTTCTACGCTTGAAAACCGCTGAAGGTTTTATGATGATTGAGGCACGCAAAGTGAGGATTGATTTGCAGCGATTATAGCAGCGTCGCGCGGCCTCTCTGGAAAGTAATGCGCGGAGCAGCACTATAATTTCATTTTAATGGGTTGGACACAATCAATAATTTGTGCAAAATTTTTGGTTTCAAAAAATTTGGAATCCCAACAAAATTTATGAAATTTGAATGAAATTTCTAAGCGGACTAAAAATTAATAATTTTATCAAACCCTTTGAAAGGCAATTAAAGTGCTGCTCTGTTTCCACGCGCTAATCACTTTCCAGGAACCTTGGCAGCCTCACTCGGCGCGCTGTGGGGCCATCAAAAATTTCCAGTGATCTTCAAGCCTAGAAAAATATTCTTTCTCCAGTGTACCTCTGACTTTGCAGAGCGTGTTGACGATTCTCTCAGCGTTTGCCTCGCTCAAAAACGCGCTGGCGTCCAACACAGAAGATCCGTTTTTTTCAGTCAGGCCCAGAGCCCTCCTCGAGGCTTCGGCCACCGTTCCCACGCCCAGCCCTGCGGCCAAACTGCCAAAAGAGATCAGGCGGCCGATTCGGGAAGAGGGCACGGCTCTTTGCTTTGCGTTTTCACTCAACTGTCCACAAAAAAAAATTATAATTCATATAATTTCTATGATAAATTAACTGACATACCGTAGCCTTGACTTTGGGCCTCTTATAAACAACAGGCTCCACCTTTGGTTCTTTCCTTACTTGAGGCTCATTAACAATGATTGGTTTCATTGGAGGCGGTTCTGCAAAAGTGTCGTTTTTGATCATCGGCTGGACAGGATTTAACTTTTCGATCGATTCTTGAAAAGAGGCGAACGGATCTACGGGTGGCTTAAAATTTGACAAATCTGGAGGTGTGAATTTGGACAAAGACTCCAGGGTCTCAGCTGGACTTGCAGAGTCTATAAAAATCAAAATTACGTAATTAATTTGGCACCTAAAGACCTAAATTAAAACTCACAAGTTTTTCCCGAGTAAAAAGAGGCCAAAGCTCGAAGACCTTCGACGACCATCTGCGACCTTTCAGCCGCCTCCTTCACCGTTTTGTCGATGTTTGCCTAGATTTTAAAATTTAGAACAATTGGAAATTTTTAATTAAAAAAAAACCGACCTGTAAATTTGGCGACGAGGCCGCCCCAGTGAGACACTCGGCCAGCTTTTTGGCCTGCGACTCGGCCAGGGTTCGCACGCTCGAGTTGTTCCATCGCCGGGCGCAATCGGCCTCGCTCAGTTTGGCCGCCTCTCTGGCCACCAGCTGCAGGCCACGCAGCAAGGCGGCCAGGTCTTTGCTCGCGGACATGATTTCAGACACCGTCGGACGGCCACAGCATTGGTCTTACGTAACGCGCTGGGACTTCTTGCGAGTGCGAGTTTTTTCAAAGCACAGCTGCTCCAGGCCACGCCCCCCACGTGGTTGGGAAGTTGGTTGGGAAGTTGGTTGGGAAGTCGGAGGGGGAGCGAGGGATGACGTGCGATCGAGTTGCAGATCTCGCAAAGCAGCAGGCGTTTGACGATTTTATTCTTATTCGCTTTTCAAACTCTTTCTTATTTAAGTAAATAAAATTTCTCAATTGTTTAAAGAAATTGACACTCGAGTAGATCATCATGAAAAATCTGGCTTTTTACTCGTTATAAAAAAATTTGTTAGTTTTCTAGATTTGAGTTTATTGTCAAAAAAATGTGCAGATTTTTTTTTTATTATCTCTTGTTGGGTCACAGACCGTGACCAAAACTGGTCTTGATTTTGAATTAAATAAAATTTTATTATAATGGGGAAAATTTCTATATATTCTAAGTTTTGCGATATTTTAATCAAGTAATTTTATTCCATTTCTTTATAACGTTAAATCTGCTTTTTTTTAAATAAATTTGATAATATGGTGAATGTGTTAAATATGAAATAAAACACAGCAGAAAATTGTACATGGAGTAGTGAGAGGAATGATCAAAACCACAAGTTTATTTTGCACGTGTACTCTCGCTATACAATTATTGTTTTGGGGTCATGAACGTGTGTCTACATTTTAATCGACTAGATAACTCTCGGTGCTACAATAGTATAAGTTTTATTGTTTTTTTCCATCCATATTATATTGCGTAAAAGCTAATAATCCAAGTATCATGCGCGTAAGTGTTAAAAATTGAGGAAAGCAGTTTGCTATTGAATACATTCTTGAGGTACAAAACTCATGAAGGAAATGAATTATATATTATGTTTGTACACAACATTCGGAAGCAATAAAACAACAACAAATTTCAGTCCCAGCCTGCTTAATCGAGGAAAAGTCTTGCAAGAGAAACCTGTAGGTGTGTCGATGAAATGAACGATCAGGGGCGATTCGGAAGTGAAGAGGGTCGCGCGGGTTGATTATTTCTTACGCTGCTCCATCGCCGACCTTGCACCAACCGATTCAAACTGTGGATACAAAAAATTTCAATTAAAAAAATAAATTTATTCTAAATTAATATTTTTTGGTGATGAAATGCACTAAGATTAGTTTTCAGAATATTTTGCATTTATTTATTCATTTTGGATTAACAGAAAATGATTTTTATTGAAAAATTTTCAGGGCAGCTGCGAAGAAAAGTGCAGAAAGTAATTTCCTGTGTGAGATGTGCGGAAAGGGCAAAAGTCATCTCCGCCATTGTAGTGCAATCGTTTCGAATTCTTGCTTTTTCATTTTGCAAGACCAGAGAGAAATTTTTAGAATCTCTGGTTTATTTGGCATTTTAGAATAGATCATTTTATTGAAATCAATTTCAAATATGAAAACCAATTAGATAATAAGTAAATAAAGTTTGTCACCAATTTTATTTTTGCACGAACCATAAAATTATTAAAATGAGTTTCAATTAGAATACGAATTACACATTAATTTTATACTCACTTTTATAAAATTAAATTAATTTTGTATAAAATTGTTTACTGAGGTGATTTCAACTTTTATTCAACATATCGTTACAGTTTCAATTTTTAAAGGACAAAAATTTATACCCATTGTCTGAGTGCAGGCGGAATCCTGTCGATGGCAAAGAGCGGCTGCGTCCTGCGAAGCAAAGGTTCGCCTCTGGGTGGCAGCACCGGCTGGAAAGAGTCTGACCCTGCAGGGTAGGCGAGGGTCTCGAGGGCGGGCAGCTCAGGGGGCATTTGTTCCCCTCCGCCGCCGTCCGAACGCTTTCCGTGTCCGCCGAAGCACGAGTGGCCGAAAGCTGAGCAGCCTCCTGCAATTCAAGATTTCAATAAAAAATTATTGCATTCGTTTTGATTTGGCAGGCGAACGAGGAAATAGGTGGAGAAACTAGTTCCTATTGTTGTCGACCGTGACTCGGCGATAATCCATTTGAATGAGGACGCATTTTCATTAACGCCTTTTTCAAATACGAGGCGGAAAAGTTCTCGTTTTCCTTCCAAGGTTGAATGAAAGTGGATGAAACCTTGAACTATTTTTTATTCTTCACAATTTTAAATTTTTTGAATTCACTATTAATTTACTAAAAATAACCTGAAAATCTTTGGTTTAATAAATTTATAAATTAATCTAAAAAAATTCTAAGCGCTTTTTGATTTGATGAAGTTTTTTTAGCTTATATTATGTTCTAAAAGTGCTAAAAAAAGATTGTTTTGAAAAGTGAATAAATTGAACTTTCCTCAAACATTTATGCAGTGATCCTCAATTTTCTAATGGCAAAATGTGTAGCAAAGTTTACTTTTAATCGATTTGTGTCTATTTTATGTAGGTGAGCAATTTTAGTTAAATATTAGGATTTTCTCAGTAAATTGTGCGCTGCGTTTTTAAATGCTGCTGTAATTATAGAGGATTTTGGTGTTCCATCCACTTTAATTGGTCCGCGTGTTCGTTCCGCAGATATGAAATCCTGCGTGGGGTGTTTGATTTACGTCGTTTGTATCAATTATGCATGCACAAAGGAGAAAATGAGCGAGGGCCTTTTCAATTTGCTTCCGACGAGAGTGCAAATAAATCGAGAGCGCTCGTCCGGAGGGGTCATCAAATATTCACAACAACCTTTTCCTAAAAACCACTTTCACTCTGATTTCTTTTCGCTCAAAAACTTTTATTTCAACTAATGCTTATTCTAGCTCCACTTGACAAATCTCTCAGCTATAAATAAAAGTTTTCTTTTGAGCGAATTGTGAAATGAGCACTGGCCGGGAAAAGTAAAAAATTCAACGAGCCAAGAGAAGTGTTGAGAGCGTTTAAGTGCGCGCGCGTTTGCTGCACGGCTCGTTGTTCCAAGTGACACCACTTGGCTGATGGACAACGAACCTTCACATTTTTACAAGTCTTTTCCCAACTGCTCTCTCTGCAAAATTTTCTCTCTCTAATTAAATGCGAAACGTTGTTTCCCTGCCCAGATCTCCCGACGGATTCGAGAAACTGCTGTAGCGGACCTTTCACATTTCACCCCTAGCTGATGCTGAATTTTTGCATAAATAAATCGTGATCTGCAGGAAATAACAGCTTTTGTTCGACTAATGCGTAAGCAGGGAATTGAGTCGCTCGGATGAATAAATTAGCATGCGGAGGAGTAAAAAATAATACATGCAGAGCGTCGTATGCGATTAGAATTTTGGAAAAGATCCCCGCTTTTGTTTAGCATAATTTTTAAATCTTTTCATTTCCCCTTTTTTACTGTATTTTTTCACCACAACAAAAGAGATTTTTATTTGTCTTCTGCTTTTTTTCATCAACGTCAAAGAACAGTTTATTTGTGCTTTGTATTAAATACAAATTCATGATTTTTGCTGCTTTAATTGTTATTTTAACGGTTTTGATCGTTTTTTCAATTTCCCCCTGTAATTTGAAATGCGAATTCCCAAAACACGTTTTTTTATTGGGTCACACACATACTAATTTTTGATAAAAAATAATCATCCAAAATAATAAATTTTGCCCTAAAAAACGTTGGAATTCATGACCGTGTGGACGTGCGTCATCAAATTGATACAAAACAAGCTACTTAACTCTAAAAATCTGCATGTTTACAATACAATCTATAGCAATTTTCTTGCAATTTAGATTGCAAATAAAACTTTGTTAAATGTTTCTATACAAATATTTTCCTTTAATTTCCACTGTCAACTGATATCCATCATAAATGAACGCAAATTTTAAACAAAATTGCTTTAATAAATGACTAAAGAACACTCAACAAAACCATTTAGGAGTTCAAAGTTAGCAATTTAACGATTTTCACTTATATTGCTCGAAAATATTGACTTTACTAAAAGCAAGGTGGCGAAAGTTCGGAAGGATTAACGAACGGCGATTTGCATAATGAACAACTCGCTTGTGTTTCTTGGCTGTTTTGTCTGAATGTTGTTTCTCTTCTGAAAATATTATTATTTCGCCCTTTCACACACCTGGAGTCGTTTTTCGCCCGCCGGATTATTTAGCACCGCACACGGATGAATAATTTATTTTTACCTGCAGCTCTCGAGAGCAGATGAAAAACAATGACGCCCTCGCTTAATTGCGCCGCCGAACAATTGCGTTCGCATCTAACGTCTACCATGTCTCATTAAAAAGCAACCGTGTGTTTTACTTTAGCTCGGCTTTTAAAATTAAAACTCGACCCGTTGTTATCATATTTCGCGTGCACAATCAGAGAGCGTGGGCAGAAAATTTCGTTTGCATGCGGCGTGGGCTGATGAAAATACACAAAAGCAAATATTTTCACGATTGCGGTGTCCCTTGCTTGCCTTCGAGTCAACACACATTTCTGGAAAGGCGCCTGCGGCCGTGTCAAAATGAAATCTCCATGCAAACGAATCGCAGCTGCACCAAAAATGCAGCAAATAAACGTCATTATTCACTTTGGAAACTGAATTATAGATATGAAATCGAACGGAAGATCTTTCAACACTTTTGATAGGAAATTTAAAAGGAAAAAACTGAAATTTTTTTTAAATTTATGACTTGTATTTCAATCTTTTTCCAAATTTTCTTTGTGATGATTTCAAAACATTAACAGACACTACAATAATAGTATAATAATAACAGAAAACTGTAATTTAACATTATTTAATTATTGCATATATGTGATATAATAATAATAATAACAACAATAATAAAAATAATATTTATATTAAAAATAATTATAATATAAATAATGATGGTGCTTGATACAATCGTTAACCACAAAGTTGACCAGATATAAATTTTTAAATTAAAATTTCAAAGTTTTATTTGGGGAAAATAAGATTGGCTTTCGAATGAAAAAGTTGTCATCTTGCTAGCAGCACTAATTGCTGCAAACCCGATTAACCTTTTTTTCTAATTGACTACTCGCTCCATCAAGTTGCTCCCTCGCAATTGTCGCCCTGTTGTGCAGCGTGGTCGCAATTTGCCTTAATTGGCTTCAACTCGATTACCTTTCGATTTTTAGCAACAAACCTCTGCTCTCTTATTTCCAGCAGCCAGCAAATAAAAAACAGGCCGAGCGCATGATATCGCCTCTGAAATTACCTTCGTAGCGCGCAGCAGAAAAGATTGAATCGAGGTAAAAAGCGAGGGCCCTTAGTTTTGCTATTCTTGTAACAACTACCAATCGCTTCACTCTTATTTCGTTTCTGCAAGAGTGCTATATTCATAGTATTGAAGTGGAATAATGCGCAATTTAAAATGTTTCTTGTCTGCATTTATTAGTGTTGAGAGACCTGCTGGAAAAATGAAATAAGAACTGACAAATTATTACTATTTAATTATACTTGAAAATTTCACAAAGCTTCACTGTAGGAAGAAAATTTTCCTACATTTATCAAAATAATAGTGTTATTCATAATTTTTAAGCCTTTTTATGGAACTTGATTGGAAAATTTTGGTTTTAAATTATGTTCATAGCGCGCAACAGAAGGAAATTCATAAGAAACTTCCCACAATTAAAAACAATTCATATGTTCTGAAAAGATCAACCAACTTTAAAAACGAAACCTCCAGATTTTTTTAAAATGAATCTCGGGTTAATAAAGAATGAAAAGTGTCGCATGAATATTTCAATCGCAATTTGCGTCCTCGGCAATAATCAAGAGCGTCGAGGCCGCTTTACACAATCAGGGGCGCGTTGGCGGCGCAATTTCGGAAAACGCCGCAGCTCAAAATGGAAATTGTGTCCGGCGCGCGCGGTTTTACTCCCCGTCGCGGCAAATATTACTCTCGATTATTTGCACGACGAGGCAGGCGGTCGCCTTCATCATTTCCATCTCTCATGTGCTTGCAATAATTGCAAACAAACAAAGTTTAAATGCGGGTGCAACCACCGTAATGCAAGTTTGTAGAGAGTTAAGGGGGAGCAGGGGGCACAAAAAAGTATTTTTAACAAACAACTGACAGCAAATTTTTATTCTGAATAATTTGGATAAAAAAAAATAATAAGTTTAGTTGAAGCTGAAAAATAATCGTAATCAATGGCTGGAGGAATTGCCTGTTTTTAAATTTTTGTATATATTTTTCAAAATTATTTGAGATAAAACTCAATTTCAGCGCTCTTTTAAAATAATTAAAAAAAAAATTAGCTTTGAAACCAGAAATCCTTTTCATAAATTGAAAACTTTAATTTTACCAAGAAAAAGTTCACATTCTAAAGGAGAAAAAAGATATTCATAAAATTTTCATTTTTTTCTGCTAACAAAGAAGGAAATTGATGGTTTTATTGAAATAATGCTTTTTTTTCGCAGAGATTTTGAACTTTTCAAATTAAAACTTTTCTTTTATAGAAAAACGAGCGATGGGTTTTAAATTTTTATATGCCAAAGTACATGTTTAGATTTGAAAGTTTTAAATCCTATCACATTTCCACATTGTTGATCAGGCGTATTTGTACAAAATTAATTCCAGGTGTTTCACGCAGAGGCCTTAATATGTATAATTTGCATTGGTTTGCATATTGGATGTCACGCGAGCTAATTCGCAGCCAGAGAAGTGCATCCCTCTCTGCTCAGTTTCAGTTGATTAATTCTGGCCAACGCAATCCACACCCTCGCGCGGGCCTCGCCAATATGTGGAGGCGCAGATTAAAAGGCAATTGCCGTGAAATTGCGGCGAAAAGTGCGCGCGAGGCCAAAGTTTTGCCCTTTTTCGGCGTTTACATTTGCAAATCAAAGGGAATAATTCTAATTAAATTATCGCAGATTCTTTGCTCGCGTTGTTCACGCGGACGACGCAAGCGGATTTGTTTGAAATTTGTTTGCCGGATGATGAAAT